CTCACTAGGAGTGTTTAACTAAGTTCTTTGTTTATATATATGCATTGTTTTCATGACATCTGCTGCTATGTCTGCAAATATTATGGGTAAAATGAAAAGAGCTGAGGAGATTCTGGTTTATACATATCTACATCAACCCCTAGTTGCTACAGTAATTGAATTGCAAATAATACCATAACCCGGCTAGTAGCAAACTCTGTGATAACTTATTGTTACTTGAATGGAATTTTTACAAAAAGTATTTGGACTTTTTCTGCCTCCCTGTAGATGTGCTAATAAATTTTGTTGTGTCCGTTGTCAATTTTTATGCGTGTAGGACGCAGGAATTCGCGTCCTGTAAATCCTTGCATTGGCAGTGAGTGAGTGAGTGAGTTTAATTTTACGCCACTTTTAGCAATATTCCAGCAATATCACGGCGGGGGACACCAGAAATGGGCTTCACACATTGTACCCATATGATGAAATCGAACCTGGGGCTTCGGCGTGACGAGCGAACGCTTTAACCACTAGGCTACCCCACCATCCCTTGCATTGGCAGTATTTCAGCTACATCGTGACTCAATCACAGGTTCATAAACAGCTGTTCAACTTCCACAGGCTTCCACAATATTCTTCAGCAAGGCTTAATGATTCAGAGTATGGCAACTACAATGAAACACACAAAATGAAATTTCATTATAACAATTAAATACATTTCCATTTCATCCTTTGCATATCATGTTGGCAGGACACTTATCATGCTTAGTTGACTGACCTCCATGTGTTAGCTAAATCCAATAACAGGATGCACTGTTGCTTAGGTTTTATTATTAAAAAGTTTTACCTTATACATGTCATAAACAATGACTAGTTGCACGATCCTCCACTCCCAATTTCTCTATGACGTTCAGGCACTGTTTCAAAATTGTAAGTAAATATTAAATAATCTCCTGGTTAGCGATGAAGAAAAACAGCATTTAAGTTTGAAAAATCACCATTGAGGTGTGAGTGATCTGTTAAATTATGACAGTTTGGTCCGAAAGCCTTGAGGTGTCAAGATTCATAGCATATATTGATGACTTGTCGAGAGACTAGAAGTTTAATTAGGATTTCTGTAAAATGTTGTTTTATTATTGAGTTATGAAAATGGCAGATCACTGATTTTTGCAACATGATTAAGACATAAATCAGGACTAAATTATGTAAAAACATAGCAACAAATGAATCTGTAACCGTTTTGTTTTTTGTAAGACATGATTTCAAACATAAAATGGACATTTGTCTGGCTTGGTTGATTGTGTCACTGTATCCCAATGCCATGGAAATTTGCTCATAATATTAATCACTGGTTTGTCTGGTCCAGACTTGAATATTGACAGGCTATCAATCATCATGCAGCTTGAATACTGTTGACTGTTGCTGTAAGCAAGCACTTCCACTTCATAGATCAAACATATTTAGTCCCTACAAAGATAAATCTGTAATATTAAGGTATTTATCTTGGATTACAAAACTAAAAGTCAACAGCAAATGTGGATAACTGTGTTTTGTTCAAAGTTTGTTTTGTCATAACTTCTTATTTTCACCAACCATTATTGAATGTTAACATTTCATTTTGCAATGATAAATGATAAACTAAACATGCTTTGGAGTGGTGGAGTAGCCTAGGCCAAATAAAAAAATGTCATTGTTCCTATTACAGCTCTTTAAAATTAAGGTTAGGTAGGTTGGAATTTTTTTTTTCCATTTTTTTTTTAGAAGTAATGTACAAACTAATAACACATTTATCAATGTGTCATTACTTATTTAATCAAGCTTGCGGCCATCATGTCGACTTTCTCTTTCAGAATGACCGATGTCCGTCGGTGCCAGGAAAAAACAATGGTATCTGAAAGCTTATTTTATTCATACCACTAAAAAAATAGGGTCGGCACCAGAATTCAAGGGTCTATCGGGTAATCGGAACCACAACATATTTTTTTTAGGCCCTAGTGGTTAAGGTGTTTCGCGTCACCCCAAAGACCCCCGTTCAATTCCCCACATGGGTACAATGTATGAAGAGACTAATATTCATCCTCATGCTTGCAGAAAAAAAAATATTTAAATTCTCAATATGCATTAATAACTCCACATTTGTCTTTACAAAAATAACATCAATATTATCAAATTGTGAACATTATCACGATTTGGTCAGAATTTGCTTGCCAGGAACAGTTTGGTATCCTACATGAATCCCTTGTTACTCACATACCAAATTCTTTGCATAGATATGCTGATAATGCTAATGAGAAAGCGAAAAAGTCATTCCGTCATTCATAAACCTTGCCTGAAAGGTGATTATCACTGTGTTCAACCAACCCAATGTAGAAGGGCTTCCTTCATGACCTGGATGAATAAGAAATGGTGGTGGTGTAATTTTAGATGATATTTCAACAAGGAAAAGAATAACTTTACATAACAAACACCAGACAGGATAATAAATGTTGACTGTTACATCAAACTGAATTTTGGCCACAAATTTGATGAAAAAAGCTTGTTTCCACAATATGAAAATAGTGAAAGATCAGAATCATCAGAGTGAGTAAGTGAGTGAGTTTTGTTTTACGCCGCACTCAGCAATATTCCAGCTATATGGTGGCAGTCTGTAAATAATCAAGTCTGGACCAAACAATCCAGTGATCAACAGCATGAGCATTGATCTGTGCAATTGGGAACCGATGACATGTGTCAACCAAGTCAGGGAGCATGGCCACCCGATCCTGTTAGTAGCCTCCTACGACAAGCATGGGTTACTGAAGATCAATTCTACCCGGATCCCCACAGGTGAGTCTCATCAGATCATAGCCATTAAGATATGTAAGCATGAGAAACTCTCTGACCATTGAAGATAATAGTAAAGAAAAAACCCCAATATACTGCTCAAATATTAACTGGATTACTTCTCACAATCACACCAGCATTAGGCAAAATGTACTAGTATCAGATCCTAAGCAACCCTATGTAGGTACCTGCTGCTGGTCTCAAGAATTGAGACCGCCTCCGTGGTGTAGTGGTTAGAGTGTCCGCCCGGAGAGCGGAAGGTCGCGGGTTTGAACCCACGACCGCGTCATACCAAAAGCATTACAATATGGTACTTGTTGGTCCCTGCCTGGCGCTCGGCAATAATGGGTACAAGAAGGACTGGTCGGCTCGGAGTCAGTATACTGTGTCTGAGTGGGGTATTCATGCTTCACTGCGGCATGGTATCTCAGTGAGCTAGCACTATAAAACCAGCTTCAGTCTGGGCTAGTACAAGCAGCTGCACATACACATACACACGCATGCCATCGTCATATGAGCGAAATATTATCAAGCACGACGTTAAACCCAATTTCACCTCACCTCGAGAACTGAGTACAAATTTCTTATCGGGAAATTGTTTTTCTAGATCCCTGGAACAGTATTGAGATAAACCTGTAATATGATCTGATAATGTACACAGTGAAGCTGACTGAAGTTTTATCTTTCTTCAAACATATGAAAGTCAGATGGAATTAGAACACAATCAGAAAGAAATGCGAACTAAGTGAATTGTAGTATGACCTGGAACTGTCATTACACAATCAATAAATTACATAACTAACCACTGGTCTGAATAGTTGTAGAGGGGCACCTGGTTCCCACTGACAACCCACCCTACACTTAGTCCAAGCTTGCCCATGGTTGCATAGTAATTCTATCCTTTACAGAGGCAAGTCTAGATGAGTGGACAGTACAGTACACCAGTCTGTTTTAGGGGGACAATGTGTTCTTTACAAAATTTTTTATAAATTATCATTTAAACTATTAATTATTACTTTAGTGTCTAGGCCCACCTACACCTGTGTTGCCTACTCAACCTGTCTACAACGAAATAACAGTACACCCAATCCCAATAGTCAAATGTCACACAATTTGTTACTTATATTTAACTCTTTCAGTTTCACCACCCTATTCAACTTTAAATAACAGTTTCATTTCAGTGAAATTTATGCATATTCATGTACCAAACCCTGGCAGGCCAAAGTGTGTTTTGGTCTATGAATATGCATGAGTTTCACTAAAACATTTAGTGCTTTAATGGAAAATGATATGTATCACACTGTATTGTTTAATGTCATTAAACAACACATGTAAATGTATTTCAACATAAACAGCATTTACAAAAATGTAACAAGTATATATCGATATCATCATGTCAACAAACCCCACATCTAAAATACACCACCTGAAAAGGCATACATCAGTGTTGAGGATATTGTTAAGTGGATTTCTATGAAAGTCTAAAATACAATTCATGTGATAATGATTGACATCATGCAGTTATTCAAATCACACAGGCCAGTGTTTAAAAAAAATGAGGCCATCCAAAACCACTAACCACAACGACCAACAGGTTCATTCATAGCTACTTCTTTACATTATTCTCCTGGCATCACATATTTATGCATAAACCGAGAACTTCTGATAAGGAAAAAGCATTATTTGGAGGTGTCCTTTACCATACTAACAACGTTTTCAATCCACTGGAAAATTTAAACCATGACCTAAATCCGTACCCATGCATACCGGATGATATACCCTGGACCAATGAGTCATTTGGGTCTATATTCAAACTAGAATACACGGTGTAAACTGAAGAGTGGACACAGCCAATGTGTTCAAGATTGAAATAATACATTTAATACGTAATGCATCATTAGAACCGCAATATCTTGAATGTGCGGCCTGACCATACTGATAAGTCTGGGTTTTTTTAACACACATCTATTTAAATAATTCTTATTATTTTCGTAAAGCATAAATAAGATTCACGACTCCACAAATGTATCTGTATAAAAAGCTATAGGTTGTTGATTAATGATTTCAACGAGAGAAAGAACATGACTATGAGCACCGCCTGTATAAAGCATCAAGCAGACAAAATGCCGGCTTCAGTGTGTGGTGGCTTATCGTCTCGACGACAAAACCAGGTCTTTATGAAATACTTAATTCATTCTTACCTAACAATAGGAGTTTAACTTCTCTCGCTGCCTTTTCGCCATCAGCTCGGAGAGTTTTGTCGATCATTTTCGATCTCTCAATCGCGGCTTTGTCTTCTTGACTGGTAACACACCCCATGTTTCTGTTTGGTGGTGCTTACAATCGGCCGATATACTCCAAATAACACACAAATTATAATCCAAAAGAATCAGAATGAAGTCCTGAAATTACTGAATAGATACATTAATCCCACAGATATTCACACCCCTCTAAATCACTAAAATCACTGACGAATCCACATCCGAAGACGCTGTGTACTGAGTCCCTATTTACGAGCCGAGCGACTGATTCCGATTTGAACGAGTGACCCGGATGAACGGGCACCTGCTATCGTAGCTAACGTTGACGGGAAATCAACTGCGGAAACGGAATACCGTACTGGATGTATTAGACGGCTTGTATGTTTGGCTGTTCCAGAAAAACCAGAAGAGAAAATATGGTATTTTAAATTCCCATTCATTTAGGATATATATGAGACTTTTTAATTCGGCAAAATGGCACAGACTTATTATTATTCACACAAAACATATTTTTAACTATAATAATATGTCTGATAAAATATTACACACAAATAAAACTGCATTATTCTTTTTTATTTTTTTTATTTCAGCACAATTATTTTTTTATGGGAATTATACAATTATATGTCATTAATCCTTAACTGTCGGGCAAGTGGCTAAAGCGTTTTCTCGACACGATGGAGACCTGTGATGGATTCCCTACAGCACAATGTGTGAAGCAAATTTCTGGTGTCCCCCGTCGTGATATGGCTAAAAGCGGCATAAAACCGTACTCAGGCATTTTACTGTGGGTTAGAAGGGATGGCGGGGTCGCCTCCTGGTTAAGTTGCATTGGTGCCAGGTTGAAGACCCGGGTTCGATCCTCCACTTAGGTACAATGAGTGAAGCCAATTTCTGGTGTACCTCACCAGGCAGATAGGATAATCCTAAAAGCGGCATAAAACCACACTCACACACTTTACTGTCGGTTAGAAGGGTGCATGGTCGCCTCGTGGTACAATTGTGTGGGTTTGCCAGGCTGAACACCCAGGTTCGATCCCCAACATGGGTACATCGCGTCAAGCCTCTTTCCATTGTCCCCTCCCGTGATGCTACTCAAATATCTCTAAAAGTCGTGAAAAACCCATACTCACTCTCGAACATAATTAAAGCGTTAGTGTAAGACTTTTGACAACATTTACACATTGTATGTTATCACGAAAGCAAAATGGGAATGGTGCATCGCATCCTATTATCTTCTCAACTGGTAATACATGCAGTTGACTTCGTATTTCGCAGTTAATGTGATTGACGAACCGCACGCTGGGCCACGCAAATAACACATTAGTCCTGAGAGTTTGGACCCAATGCACTTGCTGAATCTAATCAGTACATATAAATATCACACATCCTACATCATGTCATTAAGGATGTCTGTGCGTGAAGATAGCTCATCAGTTATATCAGTTTAGAAATTATCTTGCGTCACATTGTATTTCGTTTTTTTTCGTTTGTGTATTTTATGACGTAATGAGCATGACGTTGATGACCGAAGTGTCCGTGATATGACAAGGTAGTAAAAATATTTCCTGTACGCAAAACAAGAAGTTAAAACGGAAATGTTATTTTTTAACTAAATGATGACACTTAGATAAACGCTTCTTCGTGACCAGGAAGTATAATGAAATTTGTTTTTGAACAATATCCGCAAAACATATTTTCAAACAGTTTTCTGGTACTTTTTAGTTTAATGGGGATCACTAGTAACCAAACCTCGAAGAGTATCCTCCCTTTGTCGCCTCACCGACAGCCCACAAAAGTGTGCAGTTGCATAGTACTGGAAATCATTAACACATAGTCAACGAAATGTAGTTATGTGCATACGGTTAAATGAAAATAAGTATATAAAGGGATGCTCGACTGCAGGGGAAGTCTTGTCCAGAGCTGAACACTGGAAACGAAGCTGCTGGAGCTGAGAATAAGATGGGAGTGAAACGGGGGCGAACGTTTTATTAAATATATGCTCTGTGCTCTGTGCTCTAACATCTGTAAGAGAGACTAAGGGCAGGAGGTGAAAAAATATGATTGATCTGTACTTTGTTCCTTGAGATAAAAAATGTCATTTTTATCCGAGAGGTACAGTGCATCACAAAAGGAATTACTACGTGTTACAGCCGTTTAAATACCTATCAGAAATGAAGGAAAACCAAATTCTATAGATAGTCAACTTCTTTATTGCAATGAGTGCGACGTTTCGGCGCAGGTACTAACACCGTTAGTACCTATATAAGCCGAAACGTGCTTGATGACGGTGCTAGCACCTACACCGAAACGTCGCACTCAGTGCATTAAAGAAGTTCACTATCGATAGAACTTGGTTTTCCTTCATCTTCACAACTTCTAAAATGTCTCTCAAAGAACCCATCAGAAATGGTTAGCCACAATACAGGAAGTATATATTGTTTTCTAGAGATATAGGAGTGTGCCAAAGGTTAAATGATGAACAGTTCTTTCAACATTGAGCTTTAATATGCGATTGCTGCACAAACTGATCGAGCTTACTGAATTTAGTATTCGTGGCGGAAGAAATAATATTTTATTGGTGCTTCAAGTATTAATAACAAACATTTAATTGTGTGAAGATTTTTGTTTGTTGTTAAATATCACAGTCAGCAACATCCCAGCAATATTGCGGCGGTCTGTAAATAACCGATTCTGGACCAGACAACCCAGTGGTCAACATCATGAACATTCGTGCAATTGAGATACGATGACACGAGTGAACCAAGTAAGCGAGCCTGACCACCCGATCCAGTTTTATTCCCATTTTACGACAAGCATGGGTTACTGAAGACCGATTCTACCCCGGATCTTCACGGGTCTTGTGTTTGAAGACGAAACACACTCGGAAAATGTCTTACGACGTTTCAATTGTGGTCATGTAATCATAACAGTCATGGATTACTCATTAAGCCCAAACCGTCTGTAAAATAAAGCAACACTTCAGAAATCTATCCATTTCGAATAATATCAAGCACTTTGTTGGCAGCTGAGGAGGTATTTTCTGAAATCTTTTGAAAGCTGTTCAAGAAACGTGTGCAGGGGTGGCTCCAGCGGGGTGGGGAGGGATGGGGTGGTGTGTTTTGAAGGGGTGCGCACACACCCCACCCCACCCACCCCACCCCTAATAATTTTCCCTGGTGTGTGTCCATTTTTCTCTCCAGTTAAAGTCAGTGAGTTAAGATTTGCACCGCTTTAGCTTTTAACAATATTCCAAAACTACCACAGCTTGGGATACCAGATATGGGCTCCGCACCTTGTACCTATCAATCGGTTCATGCATAATGTCTTGTATTTTTTTTTCTGCCTTTTTATTACATAATGTATATTGAACAGTTACTCATACATATCAGGGTCGGTGGGGTAGCCTTGTGGTTAAAGCGTTCGCTCGTCAAGCCAAGGTCCCTGGTTCGATTCCTCACATGGGTACAATGTGTGAAGGCCATTTCTGGTGTTCCCTGCCGTGATTTTGCTGCAATATTTCTAAAAGTGGCGTAAAACCATACTCACTCATTAATATCAATACCGTCCTATAATGATTTCTTCTCGTGCATACGTAAAATACTCCTTATCTAACATAAAATATAAAACGATAATACTCGTGGCATTATTTAAATAAACATTTAAATTCATATAATTTTATTGCTTTAATAAGTGTCCATTCAGGTAGTTCACAAGTTATCTCTAAAGTAAACAGGGTCTCCTAATCGGTGTTGTGTAAAGTGTCTCCTTTGATCTCCCCGTCATAGCAGGGGGTGGAAACTTACGCCCGTTTAGCATTAACCTAGCAATGTCACGGTAAGTGAATGAGGAGAATGTGGACGAATTAACCACAGTCTCATCAGCTGGTAGTAGAGTAATTATGATTCTGGTCATCATGGTTGGAAAAAATGGCGGAATTATTAATTTATACAAATAGTAAACACAGATCCAGTGTCGGTTCAAATGCAACAAGTGAACATTTTCACTCTAAAACACTTTCGTTCTTGTGTAAAAAGGTATTGCAGACACAAAAGCTAGAAGCTGTTTATATGTAATACATGTGTTTTAACACACCAAATGACGCTACTACACCATGTTAGAATATCTTTCCGTTTTTTCTTTCCTCCAAAGTTTGACCATTTAACCGGTGTAAGTTAGCGCATGCGTATTGGCTTTCAGCCATGTTGACAACAAATGTGTAAAGATTTCGTGTATGTTGGATTGTAGTGTCAAGATGCACGCTAGATCGACGTCTTTAAAGGTCTAGCACGGGCAGAAAGACCACAATGTCAACATATGGCCCTAATTCGTCATCCAGGGAAGCAAAACCTGGGTTTTGGAAAGCGGGTGCCAGTGTTCCCGGCAGGTAGGTGTGCCCCTTCTGCTGTCACGCTCACAGACGGAAGTGCCACACATTTCCCGTGAAAGTTACAATTCGTAAATAAATTTTAACGTCAGTTTAAGACAGGGGATACATTTTGATAATTAGTTGAAAACATTGATGATCGCGGTTTAGAATACACACCGTAGTGGATATTTGGTATCATTGTCATGACTAAAACATCAATTAATATTTTTTAATTTTTAAACGTTTTTCTTTTTAAAATCAACGAACATTTCCTGCGTTAATATTGCTCATCGCTCACGATTGACATGTTAATGTACAGTAAACAAGGTGAAGTGCCCCTAATCGTTGGTAATCATGACACTTTCTCCAAGGTGTTTATGGTTGTTTATCTCAAGATTACTTCTCAACATTATTTCTGCTAAATGTCTAATGCTTTCCAGAAATGGCAGAATATCAATTTTATCTCACTCAGATTATAGATATTGGGTTAAAGGTTTTCATTTCAGTGCCCTATATGTACATTAGATACCTCTGTGTTCTTTTTTTTAGTGCAGGAGCTTGTGTAATTCGATGAGCTTATTATCATCATTATCGCGGTAGTTAATGTTGTCGCCATCGGGATTATGAACGGCTACTGACATTTAGCATTTTATATATATTTTCAGTTGACTGATCTTTAATCTTCATTTCTGTCACAAATAATGTGACACATGTTCGCAACTCGTTTAATACCATTGCGGCAATTCCGATTGTCTCGTTTGACCCAGAAATTGAAGCAACTCTCTATTATCGCGGTATTGCTACTTTCTTACTATGGCACGCGGTACAAGCAGATGACACTGTGAAACGTTTACTAAGACAAGTAACGAATCTAAATAGTTTGATCATTACAAAATATTTAGGAATTTCATTCACATTAGTAATATCATCATGCTTTTAACCCAAACATCAGAAACTTCTATTCATTTGGATACAAGGTAACAATAACGTTACAAAATATTGTTTTTCCGGCTTAAAACGCACCATAACAAGTCGCTGCCTTGTGCAGAGTGAAGTTGCATAATACGTCACTTCCTGTTATATTTTTAGCACGGAAAATATGCAAATGACCTTATAGTTATCGCAGGATTGCTCTTGATGAAGTAAGTTTTGATTCATGCTAGATGTAAGGGCAGTAGGGGTCATACTAGTTTCAAAATGTTCTAGAACTTATTGAAAAGATGAATGCTTTAATATTTCTCCGATTACACATAACATTCCAATGAAATAAATGACTTTTTCAAGAGCGATGAATATATTTTACGTAATTTGCATATGTAAACAGCCGATGCGGGTCGTGGTGTTTCTGCTTTCCCCGATGTTTTTGCTTGCCGCGATAATAGAGAGTCCCAGTATACATGTTAATTTTTGGAACCAATACTAATTGTAATCACTGTTGTGTATGGATTCAGGAAAAACATGGTTCCATATTTTCTGTTTGCTATAACTGTCATTGTGGGGTGATTGAATATGAGTTCCCAAAATTGCTTGCGACACCATTTCGAGAAAAAAACATGTTTTCATAAACCTATCACAACATACAAAGGCAGCTTATGATGTATGACATAGAGATAACCACATAATATGCTTCTAATTTCAATTTGGTTCAATCATATAAATTAATCAAATATTGTCTTTCCTTCATCGGACACCAACATTTTAAGTATTGGCCTATATTAATGGAAACCATTTATTCAATTTGTGTATTCTCTCATTTCATAATATATACTACCATGACACACCTATGTACATAGTAATAATAGTACCCAGATAAGGATAATATAGTCGTGTACAAGTGTAACATCAGGCCTACCAGTACAGTCAGAATTAACACACTGACATTCGTGTCTAGGTAATTAAATGACAAATGACATAAAGCCAAATCTGCAGTCAATACAAACGGAATGTATTAATACAGAGTGACAAATTATATCACAGTAAACAGATAACTACATATTACAAGTGGGGTATGCAAGTGCAATATATAATGTGCACTAGTATATATATTTTAACTTTCACATTGTTAAGTAACTTGCATAGTCAATCAACCCGTCATTAACCTGCAAGAACAAAATATGCTGTTGAAATACAAGCTTCGACATTATTTGTCATACAAGCACAAGCATGAATTCTTGTTTTACTTAATTTGGAAACTAGAAGGGGCCTCGTTAGAGAACATGCCTCCGCCTTGCACAGCAATTTCCTTTCACTATTACATTTTTAAAGTACTACTGTGTACTTGTGCTTTAATGTACTTTCACCAAACCGTACGCAGATGGCCTTTGTGTCATACCTAACATAACCACCAAGATTCATTGAAATCCATCCATAACTTTCTGAGATATTATTCATATTCTCCATTTATTTAACATTGCGAACTTCTCAAAGTACCTCTGGGTACATGTACTTTAACATACACTCTTCCCCCCCCAAAAAAAAGAAACGCAAAATAAAATTTGAAAAAATGAAACTTTGTATGCAAATGTCAAAATAAGTATGTTTTGAGGGTTGAATATTGTTGTTGGTATGGTTTAGAAGAACATGCGTGAGCGAATACAACCATAAACGATTTTGAATGGTTTTATTGATCATGATTCTCAAGAGGAGCTTGACTGGTATGGAACACAACCAAAAGCTCCAATTATTGCTTTCCACGTGCAACCTATGACTATAAAAGACCCAAATGCATCTCACAAATTCATCTAAAACACTTGCAAATACTGGATGAGAAAATGGGACGTCTCAATGGTGCCCACCGAAATATTGCCATTGGAAGATTACAAGCTGGCAAATCCAAGAGTGTCGTGGCGAGGACCTTCAGCATTCATCCCAGCACAATAACTCGTTTGTGGGACCATGTTTTTTTCCCACGGAAAGCATTTTTGCTACATAAGCCCCTGCACTATTTCATCTGGTTTGGTGATATCTACAACCATATCAAATGAACTGATGTAGCTCTTATTGTAAGAAATGTAGTGGTTGAGGACAAATGATATTTCTGTGTGGTATGATCATTTTCTGTAAAATGATTGTGGAACAATGTAACATAGATTGGCCAAATATAGTTTTCGTCACTTGCAAATACCTCTCACATACACACTTAGAATTCATGTTGACATTTGTGTAATTTCATCTTTGCATTGCATTGTGTCCAACCTCACATCAGAAGGTTTATGGTTTGAATCCTAAGACAGGACTCGGAGATTTTATGCTGCTGAATCAGCACCCAATATTGAACTGAGCTTGTTGATATTAGATTTGAGCAAAATAAGTCTCAGTACCCTACTATGTATCCTGGGATGTGTCTTCTGTTGACCATGGATCATGGCTTCCAGTTAACCTACAGATGGCAGTGTCACCTTGTCCACTTTCTGACAAGGCTAACCTCTGTTGTCATGTGGACAAGGTGTTTGACCTCAGGTCAGAAGGTTCATATTTCAGCAGATTGACATTTCGTGTCTGAATATATATAATTTTGATAGAAACAATTAACTCCTTGTAAATTGAAGGTGAGGTGAGGTGAAATTGGGTTTAACGTCGTGCTTGAGAATATTTCGCTCATATGACGACGTGCATGTGTGTGTATGTGTATGTGTATGTGTATGTGTATGTGTATGTGCTGCTGCTTGTACTAGCCCAGACTGAAGCTGGTTTTATAGTGCTAGCCCACTGAGATACCATGCCGCAGTGAAGCATGAATACCCCACTCAGACACATTATACTGACTCCGATCCGACCAGTCATTGTTGTAACCATTAACGCCGAGCGCCAGGCAGGGACCAACAAGTACCATATTTTAACGTCTTTTGGTATGACGCGGCTGGGGATCGAACCCGCGACCTTCCGCTCTCTGTCTTGCGGCGCTCTAACCACTACACCACGGAGGCGGTCCTTGTAAATTGAAAAGGAGCCCTAGTGAGATTGGAGATTCAGAACCTGAACCTGAGGAAAACTAGCATTTTAGAGCTGAATGGAATAGAAAATAATGTCATCAATGTGGTTCAGGGACTGTGAGACAGTCTTGTGCTACAGCTGCCATCATAAGATTCCAAAATACTTTCAAGATGATGTCTGCTGCTATATTCATAATATATATGAGTGTTTGTCTGAAATTACACATTGTATCTAAACAAAGGAATACTTAGAACTTTTTTTTTTAAGAAGTGGATTGCTGGAATGTTGCTAAATGTGCCTTAAACTAAACTCACTCCCTCACTAGTGGTGAAACGGTACACTCTTACCACGGTACGGTACGTATTGCGGTACAAGGTCTTCGGTTGGTCCGTTTTGGTTTGGTGTTGATCATCATGCAGAAAATTGACAAGAGACAAACCTTACATTGTTTAATAATATGGGAAACAATAACCATAATCTTTGTTATTTTGAATGTTATTATGACTAGATAAAAATGATGGTACAAAAACCAAAAATACCGTATTTTAGGATTGCGTTACGGTATACTACACCGAAGGCAAAATACCACGGTTCTTCTAATATCGTGGTATGCTATTTCCCCCCCATAGCTCACTTAGCATAAAACAACATTCACACAACTGGCTCACTCACTGTAAGTTCCCACTGAAGTTAAATGGACAATAGTGAATAATGATATGTTTTCTGAAGCTGTTGCACTATTTTCACGGGGCGGTGGGGTAGCCTAGTGATTAAAGCATTCGCTCATCACGCTGAAGGCCCGGGTTCGATTCCCCACATGGATTCAATGTGTGAAGCCCATTTCTGGTGTCCCCCGCCGTCATATTGTTGGAATATTGCCAAAAGCGGCATAAAACTAAACTCATTCACCATTTCCACTGAATTTGTTTGACAGGAAGTGTTATGTAGTTGTTATGGACTGTTCCGCATCATTGGTCAGTAATGTCACAGCTAAGTGCAACAGGGGGATGCAATCTGTCAGTGACACACGCGACACTCATTATATCTGATTAAGTCATTGACATGTAATTATCCCTCAATTATGACCCGTCATCTCAAATGACCAACATATTTGTCTTACATGCTTCAAAACTTCTAATCACAGGTTATGGGAAATGATACACTTAAGAAGTAAACTTTGCTTAGATGTGTTGGAGTTTTTGTTTGAATGTCCCAATGACTCATGTTATCTATTGGTATATTGGAATCCTCTGTGAACATGGTTAATATCCTACCAGTGTCAAGATTTTCGTATTTACAGGGGTTCAAAAATCCCGTCGCCGACGCCCGGGACAAGTCAGTTTTCATTTCGGGCAATCAAATAATGGTATCTTACTTGTCTGTGGGCTACTAGATAATTTCCACTTATGGTTTCAAACTCCAAATATACTTGGATTTAATTTCATATCTGCTCAAAATGTAGCAATTAAATTTCGCAATGATAATAAAGTAGAGTTATCTTTCTTTGCTATTTATCACTTTTCAATAAATAGTCCAGTAAACATTAACATCAAATACCATGTTGATTTATTCTTTCATAATTACATCATCATGATTATTTCATAAAATCAGGGCAAGTGGAAAATTAGTCAGGACAAGTTACTTTTTTAAAGTCACTTGCCCTATGACAAGTGACTTTTTAATAAAATTTTGAACCCCTGATTTAATGTATACAAAGTGTGATCCCCATTTCGTAAAACCATACCCACTCACTCAAATCTAATTTCATATTGGTTGAATTAGCTATGTTTAGAAGAGGTGTGTACATGCTCTACTGGACATGTAAGAAACTGGCTTCTCACTTATATCTTTCTCTGTGTCCATGTTGTGATTCGTGAAACTGTCGTCATCTTCTTTCATGCTCCAGGGATCACACAGATCATACCTGCAGTACTGTAGCCGTTCAGGTTCATCTGTCATCATAAATGTGGATCGGGCCAAGTCATTGAATATGCCATATAATCCTCAGTATTATTTTGATGTTGGGCCCCAACTGGGTATATCATAACAATTCAGGGACGAGTTTGGACCGCACCCATGAGCATTGAAAACAACATCAGGGGCTCCATTGACACATATTATTCCTGTATGGAGTGATACAGTTTAACACCCAGACCCTCTTAAAAATGGATCAGTACTCAGCAATATTCCAGCTATATTGCGGCTATTGAAGTTAGAGCCATGTACATCATGTGCTCATGACACTGGAAGTACAGGCCACTCTTCAACCATGTCTTTTGTGTTAAGGTTTGGTATGGATAACCAACAATATATTTCTATATATTTTATACTCATTTTCCCAGGATGCAACAATCAGCATACAAGTGAGCATTCGAAATTCCATATTTTCTTGAGTATATTGTGCACCCATACATAATGTGCAGCCCCCTCTAGAGAATAATATGATTCTGGGATATTGCTAAAAGCGGGATAAAACCATACTCACTCATTCACTCCCTCATTTCTGGTGTCCCCTGCCATGATGTTGCTGGAATATTGCTAAAAGCAGCGTAAAACCAAACTCACTTACTCACTCACTCATTCACTCCCTCTTTGCAAAAGTACATTAGTGGTAGCTAAGTCATCCCACTTACTACTTTATAGACATGTGTAAACAACTTAAGAGATATGTATAAACAATTCAAAGATATGAGTAAACAGCATAAAAGTTATTGTGTAAACAACTTAACAGGTGTGTAAACATTAAAACGTATCAGATGTGTGTTAAAAGCATAAAAGTTATACGTAAACAACTCAAGATATGTGTGTAAACAACTTAAGAGAGATGTTTGAACAACTAGGTTGACATTTAATGACAATGTCAAAAATGTACCTGTGCTGAGACAGCCAGCTCTTAAAATCATAGGAGGCCACGTAAAATGTTAATGTGTCATTGGTACAAGATGTCTTGAATGAACTCTGATATAGAAAGAGATAAGGCCCTGTCAAGGTTTAAAGTTTGATGATGTCCCCAGCAACCGATGCAGAGTAATCGATCGGGTGGTCCGACTTGGTGATTGTTTGTCGTCCTACCCTCAGAGCTTTAATTCTTGCTCACAAGTTAGTGGATTGTCTGGTACAGAGCTGAATTTGACTGCTGTCATATTGCTGGAATACTACTGAGAGCAGCAATAAACAACAAGCAAAATGGGATTGATAATTGTGTGATTTCATAATTAACTTTCTTTAAAAATAAGTGAGTTATTGAAAATAGAGCAAATATGACAAGCAACATTCAGATTGGACTTGTTGTTAGTCAGCTATCACCACTCTCTGTTCTTGCAAGTTGTGTCGAACCCTGGCAGCTCCAAGTTCACGGCTATTTACAGAATTAGATAGGTGGAATGTTGTTAAAAGGTAACAAAAGAAACAAATTCTTCAGGTATGCTAAAATATCAGTTGAATGAAGGAACCCCCTCAATCTTCAACTTTCGATATTATACAGACCCTTCGACTTCCTTGTCTCGTTTTTGTTTTTTTATTTTGTCCGATAACTACTAACATCAATATGCTAATTGTTTGATTTGTGTATGTGTAATAAAATACACAAATGCCGTTGCTGAAATAACTAAGTATTCCTACAGGAAGTGAATTTTTTTCGGTAGACTGTTTTGAATTTTTAATTGAATTTGAACTTGTAGCAAACTTCATCCCATTGTTATAATCTTTGTTTGTGGTTTTCCAACTCCACTTGAGGGACATTGCTATCTTGACAAGGAGTTTCTGTATAGACTCCAGTGTCCATGGCAACCCTACTAATGAGGTTACGCAGCTAACACTTGTAAAGTATCTCATAAATATAATTCTATTTGTGTTTAATCTAACTGAGTCATGATTCATTTCCTGTGGAGAGGGAAGTACAAAGGTTCAAGCTGACAGCTTTATTGAAAACAAGTTTGTTGATTGTCAGCATGATCCACTCATGGTTCTTGTCATGTTTCACACAAATTGATTCAAACGTTCAGGTAGACTAACGCATAGTCTCTGAGTATGCATAATTTTGAGGGGCGGTGGGGTAGCCTAGCTGTTAAAGCATCCGTTCGTGATGCCAAAGACCCGGGTTTGATCCCCCACATGAGTACAATGTGTGAAGCCCATTTCTGGTGTCCCCCTGCCATGATATTGCTGGAATTTTGCAAAAAGTGGCGTAAAACCAAACTCACCCACTCATAATTTTGAAGGAAACAAATAATTGATTGAAAAGGAACACCAGTGAGGTGAGAGATTCAGAATCTGAACCTGGGGAAACCTAGACTTGCTTCATTAGCTTTGGAGAAAGGGCTAGGTGGAAGGGAAAATAATGCGGTTCAGGGACTGTGAGACAGTCTAACATTTATTGTGCAGTTGTCCTTTGCATGCTTGGTGAAAATTGAAAATCTTCTTCATAAAGAATGCATGATCTGGAAGCCTATTGTCTAAGGCCATGCAGCTGCGTGCCACGTGCGATTAGGATTCTAATTAGAACTAGATTATATGAATTACTTTTGCAGACATGCAGGCCAACTCTCATAACCTGTTTTTCTTACACTGAATGACAATGACCCTCTGAGGAGATCCAGATTTAATTCTTTATACGTATGACATTATCACGAACACCTTGATGTATTTTGTAGTTTTGGTTGTGATGTTTGTTCTCCTTGTTTCCAGCATTAAACCTGTATATGGAGCACAGCACCCACCCATGCAGCAGAAACTGATAAGGTGAGTGTCTTTACTTTATGACACCACAACACCCAGTGGGAACTGTCACTGACGTCAATGGCACTGGTGCCGCTGTCAAGCTGTTTGTGTGAATGTTTAACCAAATTTATGTTTTTTAATTTTTCATAGTGAAGTATTATCTATTCAAAACAGATCTGGAATGATGACATTCTTAAATGCTAAACATGTTTAAAAAAACTTGTGTGTCAATTAAAAGTATCAGATGCAAGTCGGACATATTAATGGGAAGCATGAGCATTGACCTACACAATTAAGATATGATATCTATATGGCAGCGGTCTGTAAATAATCGAATCTGGACCAGATAATCGAATGACTGACATCCTGAGCATCGATCTACCAAGTCAGCGAGCCTGACCACCCAATCCCATTAGTTGCCTCTAACGACAAGCATGGGTTGCTGAAGACCAATTCTAACCAGGATCTTCATGGGTATTTTCAAATAAACCCAATTACTCCGTTTAAAGGGTTAACAGAATAGTCAGTCATTCATCTGACAAAAGTGGAAATTGTGAACAGCATTGTTGCTGTGATGAGGCTGGAAAAAAAAGCTGTTAGTGGCTCAATCATTCCCAAAGTGGAAGCAAAACCAACGCTTAAACATTTGTTTTCCATTTTTAGTGGTTCTCCCAAAAAGGAAGATAAGCTGAAGAATTACAAGCGTGATGCATTTCAAGACTTTGAGAGTAAGACATCGGATGCGTGGGATGATGGTGACGATGACCTGCTACAGATGGCCAGTGTCCAGATGTCCTTAAAGGATGTGCAATCCTCGGCCAGAGCGGTGCTCGTCAACCACAGCAAGCAGCAAAACTCCAGAACGATAGCCGGTTAGTTTTCATTTCTAATTTATGATACTGTATTTGAAGTAATGACCTAAAGTCCAGGGTTCCTTGTCACAGCCCTGATGTTTAAGGTTTCAGTTTTCTCTGTGTTCAAATCCTAGAGGAATACATTAGGAAACAGGGATTGGTGCAACCCTTTATTTCAAAAATATTATTTTCACCTTTCCAAAAATCTGCCACAGAGTGTCCAATAATTTTAGATCCTGTGTTTGTTCATCTCTCTCTAGTTCGAGGCGGTGGGGTAGCCTAGTGGTTAAAGATTACGAATACTTGAATCAATTCCCCACATGGGAACAATGTGAAGCCCATTTCAGGTCCCCCCCGTGATATTGTTGGGATATTGCTAAAAGCGGTAAAACTAATCTCATTCACTCACTCTCTCTAGTTCCTTGGGTTAGTAATAACGAGGGCTGGGAGTTGGACCCGGCTGGGTAATGATCAATACCTGGACCCGTTATGATCATGTGACTAATAGATTCAACAATATATTATGTTATTCTTTCATGATTTGAAGGTTGTATTGTCTTTGAAGATTTAGACATTATTTACAGCCACCTGTTTTGAATGTAATACGTGATTAGAATATTGAAAAACTCAAAATTTTAGCTTCCGAGCTGAAGAACATATAGCCATTTCTTACAAATCTGATGGCAAGAATTAACATTTCAGTTATCCGGGTAGTTTTAGGGTAATCGGGGGTGGGGTACCCAGGTAGAAAATTCTGACCCGTCCCAGCCCTACCAGGGGTGGAAATAGTCCGTGCCCGGACGTTCCGAGTCCAGTGTTTTTTTCTGTCGGGCAAGCAAATTTGTATATCACGCTGTACCGGTGTCCAGTTGATTTTCCAATGTTAATAATGTTGTTTATTTTAAAAATCAACAAGAAAACGGCCGGTATAGTGGAAAAATTATCAGGGCAAGTGATTTTACATGTGCCACTGTACCGGAGTACACTAGCAATTTTAAAGTTATTTCCACCCCTGCCTACTTAATACTTCATTCATGTTCCACTTGCTGTTATTGTTGCAGACCCTGGCAGTAACATGGGAGGGGGTTCCCATGGAGGCCCTGGGGTGGGGGTGAGACTCAACAACAGCTGGCAGCCCCCGAAACAAAGCCCCCCATCGATTCAAAACCCCCATCCGATTCAACCGACCCCACTACGTCAGTAGAGATGTCAAATTTGCAATTAAACATCACTAGCAGCAAAGCTGGAGAAGTTTAAGTCACTGCTGGCAGAGCCAAACATAGATCTGGGTAGGCGGCGCCTGTCTATTCTGTAACTGTTTTCATGAATGATTAAAGGACTCAATTATCTTCAACTTTGCACTACAATTATTCCACATCAGTACATATGTATTTAATTTACCATTATATTGCTGAGTGTGGCGTAGAACTAAACTGACTAAACTCATGTTGCTGAATCCAAGCTTTGATATCTTGTGGATCTATGAATTATGATAATGATGTATTATCCAGAATAGTTTCAGTACACTGTCTTGCTGTGTTTTCAGATGACTTACGGAAAGCCAGCTGGTCTGGTATCCCCAAGGCTGTAAGGCCGACAACATGGAAAGCCAGCTGGTCTGGTATCCCCAAGGCTGTAAGGCCGACAACATGGAAAATACTGGCAGTAAGATTTGTTCACATTTAACTTCATGCCCACCCCATGCTTGCCAAAACAGAAGAGAACATTTTACCATCCTGGTTTAATAGCCAGCAACATGTATGGCCTGACATTGGTGCAGTGGGGCCATGTAAATCTGGAAGAGTGTAACAACCCAGGGTGTCGTTGTACATAACAACCTTTGAGACATGACTATCGTAAGTCTTGTTATGGAATGGGAGTTATAATCACCTTGACCCTAAGATCGTTTCATACAACAGCACCCAGGCCTGGTTGTAGGGTTCATGACTTGACATTGGTTTATTCCTTGTCAGTCAGGCTGTTGCACCTGTTGAGGACAGATGGTGATTTGTTAATTAAACTAGCCTTAGGTTTTATCCAATATTGGAAGCAAATAACAGGAAATGAATTTGTTCATTCATTTACCCAAGAAAACAGAGCATTGTATGTTTATTAAGTTTATTATTTGCTGAGCAAACTAGTGTGGAAATGATAATTAACCTGACTGTTTTTACTGATCCAGTCATTTGTCTTCAAGACAATGAGTATGTAAAACAAGGATGACTGCTCTCATGGAAAATGTATCACTGACAGATTTTTTGTATTTTCAGTTATATATAATTTGAATTAAATGTACCGTTCAAGATTATTGAAGCACCTGCTTCATGAAATAATTCTCCTATGTTGTCCATAATAAATCAGACTTTAAGCTTGTTTAACTATGAAATTCTGTCCATTTGCTCCTACTATATCTATGTTGTTTATTTGTCAATGTTTTTATAGCAACCTGTAAACAACTTGAAAATTATCATCAGGCTTTTACTCGGATTAATTTCAACTTGTCATTCTCTGTATCAACATAGGTGTACATATTTAAGATATACACTGGTAAATTTAGCAGAAGGCTATGTGAATATTTCCAAGGCTAGTCAATATTATTGGTACTCTATTTACACAAGTAAAAATCCAGTCGGGCCAGTAAATCTCCACAGTCACTTTCCTGACTGGCTAGTGAATTTTCATGGGGTCATTTTGTAATATATTACTCTCTCCGACTTGTTAAGTTACATTCTAATATGCCTAGCGGTTAGAACAATCGAAAAATAAATACATTATCAGACAATAAAGGTATAGTTTTTTGATGACGTAACAATTGAAAGACAATTGGTTTGGCGTTATCCTGTCACTGCCATTCTAATGACAATTGAACCATTTTGCAGTTGCTTCGATGCATGTCAGTTGTCAGCATACAACAACACTGGTGCATCCCATTTACGTTTGCAGTTGCTTCAACGCAGCTAACAACACTGGTGGAAACATTACGTTATGTTTCACGACGGTTAACATGTGTCAATCTCGACTCACAAGTTTTCAGCGACGGTAACATTCGCAATGTTTACATTCCCACAATGCAATCGTGGAATGTCGCTTGACTACTCAGCTTCATCTGGATGTACTGATCTAAACTTACGTTGGTAGTAGAAATGCGACGTTGATATTGCCCCATATGGTTTACGTTAATGACAGATGTAATTAAAATAATTCAGAGGAGATATTTAATCCGAACGTAAACCGTCATCAAACTGTTATCATTTGATTTTTTTCTGGTAATGTTCGTCTTAACGTAGGGGGGCAGACACATCAATAGAAAAGCACGCCAGTTAACCCTGTGCGAGCATTCTTAATTTAGGTCACTGACACCGTCGTTTGTTTTCTGCCTTATATTAATCGTAGTTATCCTTAGAAAGTATTACATTTGGCATCTTAGAAAAGAAATACAGTTCGCTCTACCACCATGTATAGTGTAATAAAGCACACTTTTGCCCTGAACTATTATAGTTAAAGTGCGAGGACGCTTGCGTCCGAGTGCTTTAACTTTATAATAGTTCATTGTGAGCGTCCTTGTACTTTCACTATAATAGTTCAGGGCAAAAGTGTGCTTTCTTACACTATACATGGTGGTAGAGCAAACTGTATTTCTTAAATATACTTTTAAATCATGCAAGATTATGACCTGATAAAAATGTTCATCATGTTATCAGCTTAATGAAGAACCCCGTCATGCCGACAATATCTTATTCTCATCTATTTTTGTAATCTTTTGCTTAGTTTTTACATTCAACTTCTGGGCTAGTGAATTATTTTGTGGGCTAGTAACTTTCAGGCATAGCTAGCCCGACTGACTAGCCAAATTTGGAAAGTATTTCTCACACTGGGGCTTGAAATCAATCTGAATACTGATTGGGTGTTCAGGCTTGGTGACTTGTTGATTGGTCGTTATTGTACCATATACAGTATCATACATACATGTTGTAGTATCAATCACATTTTGAGCTCAATCATATTCTGTTATTTACCTGCTTCTCTTATATCGCTATGTAATGGTGTTGTTGACTGTTTGTCAAGGTATATATTGATCATTTATAACAAAGTGGCTGTAATCATCATAAACTTCCAGTGCTGTTCCAGGCAGGTGTACCGCTTAACCTGTAAGATCGTCCTGACAGGGCACTGACGAACTGAAAAAGTACTTTCGTGAAATTATATCTCACCCTTCTACAGACTGCTTTTTTTGGTCCTCAAAATTCGGCTTACTAAAGTAATATACGGTATGTTATTTCAGGGTTACCTGCCACCATTAGCAGATCGCAGACAGGCAACACTGGAGAGGAAGAGGAAAGAGTACTTTGGGTTTATAGACCAGTATTATGAAACAAGACACCATGATATGCACCAAGATACTTTTAGACAGGTATGGAGCAAGTACTTCTCTTTACATGAGTCAATTGTCTGATGTCAAGAAATAGAAAATATTGCATTTGTAACCATTCTCATAAATCCAAATGATTTTACAACAGAAATATTTATTGATGTAGATAGTTATTTATGTTTTGTTGTAATATATTTGTATATGATGGTATTTATTCAGCCTTAGCTTAAAGATATTCTCACATTTGAAGAGGCAAAAGGATAAATCATTTCTCAACCCATAAATTGTGAAGTCATATATTTTGTGTTCGAAAACAAAATAGTAACAGAACTATTTTTTTGCACCTTTCTCCAACTGATTTGCTGATACAGTTGTTAAAATATTTACCTTGGGGATTATGGGACAGAAATAGATCCCCTGTACCCCATGCTTGCCCTTCAGAAAGACAAGGATCTGAACATTGTGTGACCTGGTTGATTGTATGTCATTGTGACCTCTCAGCATGGAGCATTCTTAACCACTGGTGGGGCAGTGGCCTCGTGGTTAATGCACGCACTTGTCACACTAAGGATCTGGGTTCAATTCCCAACATGGTTATAGTGTGTGAAGCCCATGTCTGTTGTCCCCTGCCATGATATGCCTGGAATAATGCTTAAAGAGATAACCCAAACTCAATCACTCAGCCAGTCTCATTCACGTACATGATGTAGCTGGAATATTGCTGACAACATGTGAAAATGTAAAATGGGCTGGTTAGTCAACCATCTCACTCCAAGAGAATGGCTACTTGTGCATTCTGTACAAGAAATTCCTGCCTTCCCAAAAGGTGGAATCCTTTTTCAACGTACCGTTTTGTTAATTGCCAAACATTCACTGACCAATATGTTTCAGATTCATATAGACATCCCCCGAATGAACCCCCTAATTCCTATATTCCAACAAATCCTAGTACAAGAAGTGAGTAGACCCAGTCAGGAGACTGGTGACAGACAGGCCCGGGGGAGGTCAGGATACCTGCTACAGATCCTTTACATATTGCATCAAATCATATAGAAATAGCAGAACTTGGGTAGAATCTTGACACTAAGGTTGATCAAATTTGTCAGCATGGTATTTGTTGTGAAGGACTCTGTGGCAGGTATTCTGAACATGTTTCTTGTTCTTGTATGTGGAGAGTGTTAAAGGAACGTGCACGGACACTATTTGCCTGTCAACCAATATTCACTGATTGTACCTTTAAAAGAAAAGCTGTGAAACGTGATCTTAAAGAAATTCTGCATTTCACGTTGTCTAATGGCGTCAGCCAGACATTTAACCATACTGTGCATCTTGAAGAATCACAAAATTGCCTGAAGAATTTGAATTTTTAATCTTATAAAAATTCTTGTTAGGGACCGGTCATTAATTAAGAAGGGGCCAGTGGGAATTGGTTGGTGGGGGGGGGAGTTGCCAAAATATGTTTAAGATCATAAAAGATAGAATGTATGTTTGGGGAGCATCATGAAAAATATGGACATTTCCTGATACAATATAAAGTTCTTTCCCATTTTGTCTTTTCGGTGACCGTCTTGAAAATAATTTACAAGGACTTGGGTTGATCATTCCATAAATATGAACTGGGAGAACATCATTTTTTTCAGTACATTAGTGCATAAAAAACCACAGACTCTCCACATGGTCCTTTATTGTGATCTTTGCGTCTGTATCTTCATCTGTTGTTGATTCCACTGTCCACGATCAGTTTCACAATAGTCGCCATGATTTATATTTGACAACCAGTTTATAGTCAGGCAGATATGTCTACAGCATGTTCCTTTTATGCTCTTGTCCTCGCTAATGTTGTGTATGGTTACTATGGTAACGGATTTGCTGTACGGTAGAACCGACTCTGTTTTGCAGATTCTAAAAGATATTCCCCGCATGACTACACTTGCACATTTGATGCAACATAAGGTCATACAAGAAGTAAGTACATTACGACACACGTCAGGCATTGATCATCTTGATCAGTATGTTTCCCTGTCCAGCTGAGAGTTACGTTTTTACAGATAACCTGTGTTTAAACCAGTTTTTTTAGGAAGATAGATTCAAAGAACAGTTGATTATAAACATATAATGAGCATAATTAAGTGTTGACTCCATAAGTCTCATAATAAGACCTTAGTGCTTGGTACCGCTACACAGGTGTGTGAGGACATCCTATAACTGGTCACATCGAAGCGCCCTTTCATCTGGCCCATCACAGTGTCCCTCCCCAAATGTCAGAAGTGAAAGTCTGTGTTTTCTAATCATGCACCCTTAAAAACGTTAATGTAGAGTATCCTGGATGATAGTTACAGCTGAAGCTGACTGAATCCAATTCAGATATACATGTGGAACGGAAGGGACTTTCAATAGCCTATAGGAAGGTTTGCCAGAAATTCCTGGCCTTCTGTTAGACATTCTAATGTTTTCTTTTGTTCAGTTTAAAATTTTAAAGATGGAACTTTGTCAATATGTATTCAAAGCATAGTCTTGATTGGTAGTCACTATTCTGAAACTAGTGCTGTAAACCTCTAGAAAACTGCCTTCTGATTGGCTAATGTTGACTTCCTGTTATTTCATTTGTTGGGAAAAGTTAATGAAAGGTTGCTCTCACATGATGTGTAATGGGATGTCCTCCTGTCTTTGTGTTGCAGTAGCGAGCACAAACATCTTGTTTTCATGGGATCAAATCAATAACAATGACTTCACAAACTAGCACTTTGCTTATCAAGCCTATGACCCTGGTTCTATTCTGCACTGTAACATCCTGTAACATCGAAGACAAATTTGGTTGACATAAATTAAGAATACAGTTTGTATGGTGATAATTTTGTCAATTGTCAAATGATTGCCATCAGCAGCTAAAACATAGAAACATTTTATAGTCCAGTTTCACATGTCACCAGTAAGTCGCTAAAAGATAGAAATGGTTTACAGTCCAGTTTCATGTTTCACCAGTAAGTCGCTAAAAGATAGAAATGTTTTACAGTCCAGTTTCGCATGTCACCAGTAAGTCGCTAAAAGATAGAAATGTTTTACAGTCCAGTTTCATGTTTCACCAGTAAGTCACTAAAAGATAGAAATGTTTTACAGTCCAATGTAAGTCACTAAAAGATAGAAATGTTTTACAGTCCAGTTTCGCATGTCACCAGTAAGTCGCTAAAAGATAGAAATGTTTTACAGTCCAGTTTCATGTTTCACCAGTAAGTCACTAAAAGATAGAAATGTTTTACAGTCCAGTTTCATGTTTCACCAGTAAGTCACTAAAAGATAGAAATGTTTTACAGTCCAGTTTCACGTGTCAGTACACATGCAATTTTATTTGCATCTACGTGTCTTGTGTGATTACTTCCTGTGTGTTCTGTTGCTTGTGTTGTACATGTTTGTCAGTCACACTCAGAGCACCTGGTGTCAGTGTTGTCCATAGCTTGTAGGCTGCTCCGCCTCTCAGGAGGAAATATAGCCTGTAGTTAATCTCTGTCATCTGTCTGTACCCTTTTTTCATGATTCTGTTGCTGGCAATTGAATTAACCTTCTTATGATGTTTTTTAACATTTGTTTTATGGTTTAGCAAGTTGAGAATTTGGCTGTTGAAAGTTTCAAAGACCGGTATAATACAATACTAACATAGTCGGCTCTTATTTTGTAGTGAGGACTGGCATAAATGTCTCTACTGTTTGGTTTACCCCCTTTCAGAAAATTGTGTTCTTAATTTGTTTTATAGCCTACTTGGAGTAAACACAATTTACAAAGAGACCATGGTATTAACTGATATGTTCACATGTAATGATTGGTATAAATATAAATTCCCATCAGTGTCACTGACCACAATGCAATGCAAGCACCTGTCTATTGTCAGCCACTCAGCAAACAGTTGTCCATCAGTCAGGGCCGACTGGTACATTTTCCAATTTCATGGACCAAAATTGTACAATAATTGCTTAGTGAGCAAATCAAATTCTGTGGAATCATTATAATTTATTTCCAGTGGACTGGCACAGTTAAAGAAGGTGTTGCACAACTATGAATGGTGTCTGAAAGATTCTGAGTTCAAGTATGGTGGAACCTGTGAAGGTCTGGGTTAGAATATTGATCTCAGTAACCCATGCTTGTCGTAAGAGGCGACTAACGGGATCGGAGTGGACAGGCTCGCTGACTTGGTTGACACATGTCATCGGTTCCCATTTGTGCAGGTCGATGCTCATGTTGTTGATCACTGGATTGTCTGGTCCAGACTTGATTATTTACAGACCACTGCCATATAGCTGGAATATTGCTGAGTGCGGCGTAAAACTCAACTCACTCACTCCCTCACTCAAGTATGGTGGACTGTAATTGGTTGCTGACCATCTCATAATCTATTGAGGTCTACGCAGTTCTGCAAATGCTGTTCCTTAGTGCCTGAATCCCACAGGTGAAGATGGCTTTCTCCTGGTGGTGTAAAAAGTCCTCCACAGCAGGAATGTCGTCATCATTATTTGCATGATGCATGCTAGGCAGCTCTTTCTTCAAGAGGCAGAAATCTTACATGTTAGAAGATCGCGAATGTGGAAGATGTTCAGAGAGTTCAAAGCCACAGTCATGCATTGCGACCATGGCAACAACAAACTTGTGCTCAGGTGCATTGTTCTAGTGGCCATTTTTGGTGTGACCTTGAGTCCCAGAAAACCAAAGTCATCACCTTGGTCTTTGCCTTCTTTGGAGAAGGAGAAATTAGATGTTTCCTCTTCATGAATGTGTTTAGTCTGTGGCTGAAAGTTGTGAACCCAAGACTCTTTTTCTTTGTTACAAATAACAAATGGGAACAAACAATGATGTGGATATGCTTCAATGAATTCACATGAGAGATGATGAACCATTTCTGCTCAGGCATCAGAAGCGGAACCCAGCTTGCTGTAACTTGTCAGGACAATTTCATTCCACAGACTGTCCTCTACTCTCTCAATACAGATGCCTTTGGTATTGGCGATGTGGCAGTGGCATATGTTGTCAATCTTTCATAATGATACCATGTATTTTGGTAACATACTCCTGGCAATTGAAGGATCCTGATCTTAGATTATCTTGAACTGCACTGGGCACCTCTAAACAGCATCTTGATACTTGATTTTGTAAGAAAACCTAGTCACTTAAAGTCTGCAGAAATATGCCCTCTGGGTGTGCATTTGGTTCAGTGCAGCCAGGAAACCATATTGAGTGTACAATACATGCCTACTGGTAAGGGTGTCCAGTACATCCTTTTTGTCTGTAGTTGGGTTCAGAATTTTTCAGACACCCCTCTCAAAATTCCCTTGAACCATAATGACATGAAAGGCTTTTAATTCCAGACCATGATTCTGTGATAATATTACACAAGCACATAGATACATGGAAGTTCTGTTTGGATAGAAAATCAAAACTAGCATACTGTTCTTAGATTCAGGAATGATTTTGTATCATATTAATTTTTTGTCTTTGGATGCTCTTCTGTGTATCTAACAATTTACTTCCTCATTATGTTTCATTTGCTGCATGTGTATAATGAAACTTGAATTATGTTTCATATTATGTTATTTTAGTCATTGATATTTTAAAAAACTAGAGGCATGTATTGCCCAGTCATGTGTAGTTGCCACACATCAGCTGTGAAGAGTTGCCTACCTTTGGCTTGACAGGAACCTCTGATCATGGGTTTAAGTCCAGTCTTGGTTTGTCAGCACCATATCCATGCTCGTTGGTTTCATGAAATCATTAAAACCTGCATCACTGCAGGCTCTGTTCCTACATCCAGCTAGATTTGATGCTTATGCTGTTGATCATTGGATTGTCTGGTCCAAACTCAATTATTTAAAGACTGCCGCCATATAGCTGGAATATTGCTGAGTGCGGTGTTAAACAACCAAACAAACCAATCTTACATCCAGCTGACAAGCAGTGACATAACTGGTATACTGTCCAAGACAGTGTTGAACCAAACTGTCAGATTCACTCACTCACTCATAATATTTTCCATATACGTGGATATTTCTCCTAAAGGTTTAAGGTATTTGATTTGCAATAGACCAGTATACCTGAGGATGATGGAATATTTTCTGTGGTGCAACAGTAATTAAAACAGTAGTTCATGTTGTCTTGAAATAATTTTAAGAATGTTCATAGTCAATTTAGTAATATCTATGGTAAAGGTTTCTTAATCAGTGAATTTTGTTTCAGATATTTGAAAGAATTTTGTACATATGGGCCATTCGACATCCTGCAAGTGGCTACGTCCAAGGAATCAACGATTTAGTCACTCCCTTCTTTGTAGTGTTTTTGTCCGAGTATATAGATAATGGTGAGTGGCATCAGATGATGGTACTTAATGTTAAATAGTCTCAAAATATGTAAAGAAATTACTGAAAAGTATAGATGACAATTTTGCACTACCCCAGGACCCCGTACTGATTCTAAGATGCGGTTAACATTAGGAATAGATGCAGTCTAAGTAAACTTAGTCTCAGTATTATTCGTTACACTGCTATACTGAGTCTAACAAAACCTAGTAGAAGGTCGTGTCAGCTAACCTTTTGGACTGACCAATCAGAACACAGCTTACCAATTTGCAAAAGTTAACATTCGTACATACCGTTTGAACCGTTACCTAAAAAACTCGAAAAATTCCAAATGCTATTTTCTGCATGATCGCTTCCGAGTGAAACACGCAATGTGTAATCAGTCGCTGAAAATAGTGTTTTTGTCAATATTCGCGGATGTCATCTTGCGAAAACATAAGCAAATAGTAACCATGTCATTAGAAACCCATAAGCGTTTATACTGCAGGTCAAATATCTGTGTTCTATCCTGATTTTCGTTTTGTTTTGTTAGACTCAGTATAGCAGTGTAACGAATAATACTGAGCCTAAGTTTACTAAGACTGGGAATAGATGTTAAGCCATTATGATATTGATCATGTTTTCATCATGCTATCACCTGTGAAGATCTGAGTTAGAATTGATCTTCAGCAACCCATGCTTGTTGAAAAGGCAACTAACGGGATCGGGTGGTCAGGCTCACTGATTTGGTTAACACATGTCAATGTATTCCAGTTGCGTAGATCGATGCTCATGCTGTTGATCACAGGATTGTCTGGTCCAGACTTGATTAATAATGAAAATAATATTTCATTTATCATGCGCATTTCTCCATGCACAATGCATGCTCGAAGTGCCCAAACATGCTGATTATTATTACTCCGGATAACCCAAGCTGCCTGTTAGGCACTAGAAGGTTATAGTCACATGACTTTTATCCCACCGGGTATCCATTTTCTGCTGGGTAAAAAGAGGCAATGGTGAACAAACTCACTTGCCTTAGGTGAAACCACATGTATCACATGTGGGGCAGGAGTATTTTAAAGTCCAAGAAACTCTCAGGAGTCAAACTGCCAAACACCTGATTTGTGACCTGAGCTCTACGCACAGGACCACGTGCCACCATATAGCTGGAATATTGCCGAGTGCAGTGTAAAATAAAACTTACTCACTCACTCTTACATTATTTCTTACATAGATGTTCTTTGATGTATGGAAAAGTTAATATGTACAAAGTGGCATTAAACTTACAATGTCAGCTTATTAAGATGTTTCTTTTGCAAGAGTGACAATACTGGACACTCGTTTTCTTTCAACAAACCATCTTTGCTGTAGATGTGGAAAGCGAGAACTGTGATCTGCGAGAGCTGCCAAAGTCCACGCTGGATGTGATCGAGGCAGACAGTTTCTGGTGTACGTCCAAGCTGCTGGACGGTATCCAGGACAACTACACGTTCGCACAGCCTGGCATCCAGCTGAAGGTCAGCGCGCTCCGGGAGCTCATCAACAGGATCGATGGTAGGAGGCTGTGGTGCTCTTGTAGGGTGTATAGATGAAGTTAACAGTTCTGACATCTGGCTGGGATCATGCAGGTTATGAAACTCCCAAAAATTTCAGCCAAACCACAGGGCTGGTTAGATGTAAGACTTGCCAGCCCTGACCAAAACTTACCTGCCCATAACAAAACTGATTTACTTATTTACTCTATTTTTGCGAGTGAATTAATAATGATTTATTATCCTGAAATATGATGAATATCTTCATATAAATGTCTAAATTTTAACCCAACCGTCAGGCAGGTGAATTTGAGAATCTGGGAGTCCCTGTTGAAAATAACCCGTCCCAGGCGGTCGGGCAGGCAGGTATTTCGAATGCACCATCATGATAACTTCCCATTGGTAAGTTTCTTGGTTAGTCGGCGTGGTGGGGTAGCCTAGTGGTTAAGTGTTTACTTGTCATGCTGAAGACCCGGGTTCGATTCTCCACATCTGTACAATGTGTGAAGCCCATTTTTGGTGTTCACTCTTCCACAGCTCCCCTACACAAGCACATGGAGGGACAGAACGTGGAGTACCTGCAGTTCTCCTTCCGGTGGATGAACAACCTCCTGATGAGGGAGATCCCGCTCCGCTGTACCATCAGACTGTGGGATACCTATCTGGTAAGCTATCGTAGCAATCAATACTGTATCTGCAGTTGTAATTTGTAATTCTTTTCTTTGGTGTTTAAGAACTTCATTAATATCTTAAAACTTTGTTGATTAATGTCCTTGGATATATCTTTATTGTTTTGTGTTTCAGTCGGAAGTGAATGGTTTTGCAGACTTTCATCTGTATGTGTGTGCATCGTTTCTACATAGATTTACACACGACATCTTAAGGGAGAGAGATTTTCAGGTGGTAGTGTGTTTCAGTTGAAGTTTGAAACAGCTTTGTTAATTAGTTGTTGGCTGGTTCATGTAAATGACATAAGTAGGATTGGATCACCAGATTCCTTAAGATAACTGTACTATATGGTATGACAGATTAACTACTTCGGTAATATGAAGGATTCCAATGGTCCATATCTTGTTTTAAGTAGTGAAGTATTATCTAGATTGTCTTGTATTTTTCATGTGTTCAAAGAAAGTTAATTTAGAATATTGTTGGAATTCTATAACACACCTCTTAGACTGGGCACCTGTCTTAGGTATCAGTGAGTGAATGAGTGAGTTTAGTTTTACGCCGCACTCAGCAATACTCCAGCTATATGGCGGCGGCCTGTACATAATCGAGTCTGGACCAGACAATCCAGTGATCAACAGCATGAGCATCGATCTGCACAATTGGGAACCGATGACATGTGTCAACCAAGTCAGCGAGCCTGACCACCCGATCCCGTTTGTCGCCTCTTACGACAAACATAGTCGCCTGTTGTGGCAAGCGTGGGTTGCTGAAGACCTATTCTACCCCGGATCTTCACGGGTCCTTAGGTAGTAGCAGATATGTGAAAGTGAAACAGAATCTATACAAATAATTGGCCAGTTTTGGGCTCCATTAGTCATTTCCCCTGGAACAACATTGTGAAAAAGGACCTGCATCACCTCGGCCTTTCCTCCCACAAGCTCACATGTGACTCGAAGCAGTAATTAAACCCAACTCACTCACTCACTCACTCTCTCGTGCTGTTGATCACTGGATTGTCTGCTCCAGACTCGATTATTTACAGACCGCTGCCATATAGCTGTAATATTGCTGACTGCGGCGTAAACAACAAACCAACCAACCAACCCACTCTCTCACTCCAAGCGCATACCTACCTACTTACCTACCTACCTACCTACCTACCTACCTACCTACTTACCTACCCACTCACACTGTCACTGTGCTGTCCTCCACAGGGTATCCTGATGTTTCTACAGAACCTTCCAACTCACCATTGGGGTAACAAGGAAATCGGGGAGGTACTCGCAGAAGCGTTCAAGCTCAAGTACATGTTTGCTGATGCCCCCAACCATCTGAGCCACAAGTCGTGACACAGGGCATAATCATGACATGGTCTACGGCAGTCTAGCATGGGGTGATGGTGTCAGACATTACAATAACTCTGTTCAAGCGGGTCGAACACGACCATGTCAGGGATAATGAGAGCTACATGCCTAGTAAGGATGTTCGAGTCTCTGCAACAGGGATGCAATAAGCTGTGGGTCAGCAGAAGAATGGACAGGAGACGATAGACGACTGAACCAGTACAACCTGAACAGTTTGTTACATTGCAGAAGAACTTGAATAGCCGTAGTTGTACTCGGTATGACGTATAGGAAAGTAGGGCAGAATCACACTGAGGCATACTCAAAAGAACCGAGGACTTCTAGTGCCTGTACCAAGCTCTGGTCCAGAGTTTTTTCCCTTGCATGTACTCTAGCAGTGAAGAAACTCAAATCAAAGAACAGACACTTGAGTGGTTATGTTTGTTTTCCTATAACTTTTATTTTATTCAACTTGTATCCCACAGGTTCAGAATATTAATGTTGATCTGTACATTTGCCCTTGCTGTTAAACATGTTCAATATCAGCTGGAAATACACTGTTTTCAGTCTCTTCTGGGAAATGTCAAAACCTACCTGAATTTCCACACTGTATGTAAACACTTGTTCTTACCCTCTCATTCCAAATGTACACAAATACCAAAGATTTCTGTCTGGATTTTCATTTTGGACATGAAAATAACAGTTTAATGTCCCCAGTTACCAGATTTTTCCCCTGCTACAGTCACACATGTAGGTTAGCTACCAAGTTAAGATAACTCTTCCATTTACATCCGACAACTTCCACTGCAGGCTGATCCTGTAACCAAAATTGTTACCTGCAGAAATCAAATCACCTAAACAATAAGTCCTCCACTCGTTATCTAGTTCATGCACAATAAGACATCTATAAAACATTTCATATTTCTTGTCAATATTTATTCTGTCACAATGCAGGTAAAAAGGTGTACGTTGATAGTAGAGAGTTTGTGGTACAGAGATTTGTAGGCAAGTGGGTAAATATATATCTAGTTAAATCCGTAGTATTTTGGTTGATGGGACAAAACGATGTATTTCCAGCTAACAAGATGTGAGTTCCTTGCTCTCCTGGATGTTATGAATCTGAGCTCTGATGTCTGATATCTTGTCTTCCTGCCTGACCTCTTGATGCCTTACACCTCACAGAGTAACTCATACATCCATTCCACAGTTACCATGGTTACAGGACTTGGAGATCTACCCAGATGATGAAGAGAAAAAGGGCAGACCAGTTAATTTGTTCTTTAGCAGGATGAAATTGGATGAATTTCACATCATAATTTCCAACACCTTGTTTTGAAGTAATGAAATAGTGGTTTCTCATGGCCTCCTCTGAGTAATCTAAAGATTGTGAAATGTGTTGGGAAGGAATATGATACAGCTCCGGCCACGTTGTGCAGTTCTTATAACTACATAAATGTCGGCCCTAAAATACAACTTTGAATGTTTGACTGTTACTTTCCTCCATTTTCTAAGAGGCTATGAAACCGTCTTCTACAGAACACTTTAATGTTGATAGTCTGGGGTTAAACTCGTGGCATGGTTGCAAGCACTATATTGTTGAAGTTGCATAAGATATAAATTATTGGTGATAAGTTGTACAGTCTCTTCCTTAGATGTAGGAGTTTTCAATGTTAACCTGTGAAAAATATCTTTTCGTTTTAGGATGTTTTTTCTTAGGTTACCATGGTAACAGTATGTAAACAAGAAGATATTTTGTGATACAATCCTTAACTGCTGTATGCCATGACAATCTCAAACTTGAAATGGAAACAAGGGTCAAAGAAGGAACTGAACTAATTCGGTGAATTTTCTTCTTTTCTGTCGTTATTTTGGTATTGTGGAAAACGTTGTTGCTTGTACCTTATCAAAGCTATGTAATACCTCTCGTCAAAATCTGAAAAAAAGATGACATAATACGAATGTGCACTCAGGTCACCTGCTAAGCTTTCTGATTGTGTTTGTACATGCATAAATTTCTTCCAAGTAGAGGTGCCACTTTACGCCTACCTCATGTACTGATACTTAAATCAAGATATGGTACGATCATGGTGGTTTATTTCCACTGGTTTTGCTTGTATGATTCCTCCTTGACTGGGGCGGTGGGGCAGCGCTCGCTTGTCATGCCAAAGATTCTTGGTTGATTCCCCACATGGGTGCAATGTGTGTAGGACAATTCTAATGTATCGTGGGATATTGCTAAACGTGGCGTAAAACCAAACTGATGTGTCACAGCCTATCTGGCTGGTCTAGATGACAAGTGTTTGTTTTGTTGTTTAACACCGCATTCAGCAGTATTCCAGCTATATAGCGATGGTCTAAATACCCGAGTCTGGATCATACAGTCCAGTGATTAACATCATGAGCATCGATCTACACAATAGGGATACGATGACATGTGTCAACCAAGTCAACGAGCCTGACCACCCGATCCCATGGATTGCTGAAGGTCAGTTCCAACACGAATCTTCACGGGTAACAAGAGGTCGTTGCTGTCAACAGTTTCTGTTACATTCACATGGTAAATGTAGACTTTTACTAAAGTATTATGCAATCGTATTATGCATTTGCTTCATGACAGCCAGCCAGTTAACGCTGCCTGAATTTATGCAGTCTGAGCTAGCGCAAAGCTGTAAATATTACTTTATGAAAATGGATACAAAATTATAAAAGAATTTGATACATGGCAAAGTGTAATATATAAATGCTTAGCCTTTGCGAAACTTTGTAAATATTACTTTTTGAAAATTGATACAGCAAAAAAAACTGATCAGGAATCGATACATGGGTAGATGTAATGTGTGTTGTATCATCAAGCATAAAATGGTGAATTGTGACACCTCTTCTTCATAGTCTGTTCGTGAATTCTTTCTGAATTGCCCCACTTCAGTTTCTGGATTTATCAGGGCATCGCTTTGGGTTTTCCTCCAATATTTAGGGGTGGTGGGGTAGCCTAATGGTTAAAGTGTTTGCCCATCACGCCAAACTTCCATGTTCGATTCACCGCCCTGCCGTGATATTGCTTAAATATTGCTAAAAGCAGCGTAAAACCATACTCACGCACTCTCTCCAATATTTAGCTGACATGCCAAGATATGACTGGAATACTGTTCCATACTGGCATTAAACCCAGTTCACTCACTCATTGTGTTTGAACAAGACATGGCCAAGTGGTTAGTGTGTTTGCCTGTCAAAGTTTGATTCTCTGTGTTAAATGCTTGTATTTGGTGAACACTGGCATCAATGTGTCTAAAAGCTGATACTGACAAATGCCAAATGTTTGGGGGCTTTTTAAGAGCAATATATGTGTCGTACTCCTGTATTTTCACTCAGCCAGTAACTTGGGTCGTTTCAGAATATTTAATAACTGTCACAGGAAGAGATTGAAATTCATTTCATTATTTTCTATTTTCACGGCAGTGAAACTGTTTTTAAAATACAATCTCAGGTTCATTTAAATATTTTTGAGTTTATTGTAATATTTTCTAGGTAAGACCAAAAACAGTATAAAGGACACCTATTTGGCCCAGTTGAAATCTCAAACTTGAATGTCACAGGAAAACGTTGAAACCGCTGTGAAAGTTATCAGACAATATGGCAGACAACTAGCCCTTATTTCATTATGAAATTTATATTAGCACGTCTAAAATAACCTTTATCTAAAACATATGTTTGTGTTGAAGAATTTGCTCATGTTATCACAAGAAAAACTCTTCCTGAAAACTTCTTACCATAAATCCAAAACATGGAAGTTTGAAAATAGCCTCCATATGAAACCATCTTTTAACTTCCAGAACAATTTCTTAAAGTTTTCTTCAGGTCTGTGGGACCAAAGGTGTACTTGCATCTTGTCCTTTTCAGTAGAAGTATTTATTTTTAGAAAGGAGATCTAACTTTGTGAAGAGTGTTTGATTGTATGGTTCAGTCTACCAGCCCGAGCTTGTTTGTTGACATTATTTTGAGTAGATTTTAGTGTTTTGCAGGCTGTTGCTGAGCTAAATGAACCATATTTTACTAGACTCAGGCTTCAGACAAATGGCTGAAGCTGTAGGGGTGTGGAATATCATTTCTTATGTCTGTAATTCAAATAGAACCTATCATCCAGACTTTCATTCAATGGTATTAGTGCAATGAAACTCTTAGAAGTTGTTCGGTAAAAATGATTGTGAATATTCTGTTGTTGATTTTGTTTGCAAAATCATACAGAAGAGTTTTGCATTGTCATATGTAAGTTTTAAAAGTCACAATTTTATCGTTGGAATTTAATGTGTATATGTATATAATGTTTACTTTCTGTTGTACATAGTTTGGTATGTGGAACGCATGTCTGTGTATGGTTTGTTTATATGTTAAGGTTGACCCGAAAAACATGATACATGTAATTATTTTATTTTCAACTATAATGGCTGTAGATACTAGATGTCTGCATATCACTGGACAAGGTGGATGTAGTAGACTTGTTAACAAAATGTAGTCAGACAAGAGAGTATTGAAATATTTTCTAAGAACAGACAAACTATTTTAGTGCAGGATTTAGGATTGTTTATGATCACTGTCTGGAGCAAGGCTGAATAGTTTACTGGTTATCATGCTGCATACGCCATAAAAGGAGCCCTTTTCCAATAAGTCAGCATTTTCTTGACCTATGTGTATATGTCGCCTTTGTGGCATTTACAAAACAGTTAGTCTTGTGTTTTGTAAGAAAGTGGTACAAGAAGGGGAACATACTGGCAAAACAAAGATAAGTTGAGCACCGACCTGACAATTGACCCGTATTAGCATGTATGAGTGCCACCCACTGGCGCTTGCCATTGTTAGCGAAGGGGCCTCAGGTTGTCCGCGATCAAGTGTAGTGCGTGATGGGTGAAGCAAGGCACAAGGCGTGTGCAGCTACGCGCGGAATCAATTTCATCGTCATGCAATGCACGTGCCCTAGCCTGCATCTCCTCTACCTTTCACAAACCAAATGGGTTTGCTTATTGTTGTGCACTGCCTACTTCTCGTAAACGCGTTCTCTGCGCCAGTCCAACTTATCCTTGTTTGCCAGTAATTTCCTTATATAGAAAGTTTGTTTCTTCAACTTTGAAACCAAGTTAGTTCACTTGGATGAATTGTAACTGATGTATTGTTTTAATAATTGAACCCTTTGTAAATTTTCTATATCCCAAGGGCACTTTTTACAGTGAATATGGTAGCAACACCCAAAGTGAAGACATTTGGTCATTTGAAACATCTTGATTCGCTATGAATGTTGGGGTTTTTTCTTCCGACAATTATTGCCCAAATTTGTAAAGTAAGTGATAGTATTTTACTACAGATTTGTACATGTACCTCTTGCTTACAAAAAGACACATATTTAAGTTGTAGACAGTTGGAGAAGTTGATGAATTTTATCTGGTGGTTGATCTTTATTCTGAAATGGTTGCAGTTCCAGTTGGTTAATCAATTGGTTGCAATTACTGTGAGGATGTGTTTTCAAGAAACAAGACAGGAGTTGCAGAGTTTGTGTCCTTGAATTTGTTTTATACAACTTATATCAAAAGATCCTCCCGTGAAATCAAAGGGCTGACACAGGAAGTTGAGTTGATGATTTCAGATTGTGTTCAGGGTACTGAACATTTTGGTAAATGTTGCTTTTAAAGTAACAGGCAAAATTTCTTCATGGCAAAGCACCATGTGTATTTGTCATATTCAACCACAAGTCTATGGGTTATTTCTTCTCAAAAATAATTATTCAGGGGTTGCCAAATCATCTTCTTCATCGCCAAGCATCATGGGTGTTTGTTATATTCAACCATGACTTCACTACATGTCTATGGGTTATTTCTTTTCAATTTTTTCAGGGGTTGCCAAATCATCTAAAGGAATTAAAATTCACTGTGCAGAGATGCATCTCCAGCATTTCATGGTCATAGGTTGGAATTCCTGTTTTCAGTGAATATTTTTCTTGGCCTGTCATCACTTACAGCTTGTGGGTTTCAACAAAGTGTTACCGGAGGCTTACATCACTTCTGTGTTTCCATCCACAGGAAGCAGCACACATGCTATCATGGAACTACAATACTGAGTCAAGATGCATTAAGACCAAACTCACTCACCCTGTAAGGATAATTTGTTCTTTGTTTAAGCATAACTTCACGGACTCTGGAGACATGCGAACGTTCTACTTGTGTTTTATATACAGGTTAGTGGTTCTGAGAACGTGTTCCCTACTTTATTGCTTCCATTTTCAAAGCTTGGCTCCTTTCAGAAACAAACCCAAAACAACCCCAGTGAGTTAACAACTAATGATGACATGTTTCTCACTTGTCATCCATTTCTTCACATTGATGGTTAAGGAGAGATGCAGTTATTGATGAGAACCGGTTAGTTTGATGTTCAGCCTTATGCCTGCTTGTATATTGTGCTAGATAGTGTATTTAAATACACATGCTTTCCAGAATACTCAGTTGAGGGTACACTGCAATACTGTAATTTCTCACAGTAACTGACAACAAAACCTTTATAATACTTGTCAAGTCATTCTCTTAGTGCCATTATGAATGTAGCTCCCATACTTTAACTAGGGCAGAAAAGGGCTCCATATCCTGTTGTATCAACCGGGCTTGGTGACAATGTGTTGAACTATTGGAATCTTGGCACTAAGATTATGTCCTGGACTTTGTTACAGATGTATGTAGACGTATTTATTCCCTGTTTTTAGTTATCTTTATGTACATTTTGTTGCTATGGTAGCAACAGGACAGCATGTGATCAACAACATTCTAACCTGTGTTTGCTTTCAGAAGTGGTTTGTCAAGTAATCAGTTTGCCACATGGAATAAAGCTTTTTGGGATTCTATCTCTGGGAATGTGTAAGTCAGTGTTAGTTTATGGGAGGTCTAGTACATATGCTCAAACATTATCTTCTGAACAGTTATAGTTCTGTAGGTAATTTAAGTTTAGGGTCTTAAGGAGTCATGTTTGTTGTGCAAGTCCATTCAAAATAATGAGGAGAACCCAAATTATACCCAACCAGTATCCCGGCATTATGTTCTGTAGATTAAACTTAGATTTGGTGATAATATACTCCCCATAAAGTAATACTGACTTTCATAGGCTGTACGGTTAAAATGTATGTGTGGATCCTGTTGACATATTTAGGCAATACAATATTAGAAAGTTTACAACACATGTCGGAGGAATAAGCTGTACATACGACACATGATGTCATCTAGAATTATGCTCTATTATTCATAATATTAAGAGAAACAAGTTTCTTTTATAAGTTGTCAGGAATGAAAGAAAAGTGTTTTGGAAAGTATCGATTCTGACAAGAAAGTAAAACAGAAATAGAGTGCTGGCAGACCCACCCATTGGTATGAACATCGTAAAACCCATGATATAACATGATACAAAAGATGTATGCTTTTCTGTTATTAATTCAGTATTTAAATCAGTCATTAAGAAAAATTCATTGCACTGTGTTTCAAGGCCTTCACGAACTTGTCCTGAAGCCTAGTTTGGCAAGGTTATATATTCAAGTGAGTTAATAATTTGGAAAGGGTTCCCCTTATTTGATGTTTTTAATAGTAAACATGATAATCAGCATCATTTTAGGCTCATATCCCAGCTGTCAAGTCATGCTCATCATATTGCCTGTAATAAGCACCCAGTCTCCAATAGGAGCCAGCCTTCAGTCGGCACCTGGTTTGTAGTCACATACAACATAATAAGCACTGTGTCTACTGAGCACTGTGTTTGTCAGGTTTAAATTACTCCTCTCTGGAATAAGAGTAGAAAACGTTTAGAAATGAAGGGTCCCAGTTTATTCTACTGAAGCTTGGTAAGTGGAAACGTTAAGCAAGAGGTTTGGAAGCTTATTCATAGAATAGCGTTTATTAGAGTAACTGAAAGTTTAGTGTTATCCCCATCTAACTCCCTTCTGGGAGGAGGATAACATTAATATCACCTCCACGTCAGAATGTCGAGATCTGACTTGTTCAGTTGAGTAGCACATAGTGTTTATCTGGCTCAAGTCTGCCAAGTTTGCTATGTGGGAATTTTTTTTCTTGATTGTCCATCAGTTGCTTTCCTGATCTAGACTGGCTCCAGTCTATGATCCAGTAGACTGCCTTGCTTCCTGGAATGTGTTTGGTTAGTACAATGTATGTGTCGTTGGTACTACAGACTAGCATGCTGAGTCTACCGCAGGGATGAGCGGCCACCCACGGTGGGGTGGACTCAAACAGGGTTTGTAACTAATCCTGAAGAATAAATCATATATTGATATATCTGTCTTTTGTTGTTCATGGATTATGGTGCTTGTGTGGTAAGGAGTCACCATGTTATAATAGAGGCAGAACTCCATATATACTCTGCACATGAACTTACCATGTGTTATATTTGGGATTACACTTTCTTAAGAAAGTACAATGTACTGATTCAAGTACTTTTGTTAGTTGAGTCCCATCCATGATTTAAAGGCACACTCTCAGAGTCAGGCCCCTAATCGGCAGCACACCAAGTCAGCAATCTAATGCAGTCAGCTGCTATGGTCTGACTCAGAGTGTGCGTTCAAATCAAGATGGGACTCAACCTAACAAAAGTACTAGAATCTGTACTTTACTGAGAAAGTTTACTCCATTTGACCACTTTCTAAATGGCATTGTGTATACACATGAACATGCATAAATATGTAAATATGTCACAAATAAACTAACCTTTGAGCAAACCCCGGAAGTATAAGAAACCTTTTCAGCTTCCTTATTTCCTCAGATTTTAATTTAGTGATTAGATGCTTGTATCACATGCATTAATTCAACTGCAGTTAATTATATACAATTATGTATATTACGATATTGTAATTTGGACATGATATATTGCATGCGAGATGTCACAGAAGTGGGGCAGCACATAATAAAATGCAAATTTGAAGTCCCCTTAAACAGAATTTAAGTCTTTTAAAATAAAATCAACCCGAATGTTCTCAGGTTACCCAAACGTCTTGACCCAAGGTTTTAGACAAACTTGAACATCTGAGAGTTGGATTGGATTCCTTGTTGTTTAAGGCTGCACTCAGCAATATTCCAGCTATATGGCGGCCGTCTGTAAATAATCAAGTCTGGAGCAGACAACCCAGTGATAAACAGCATGAACATCGATCTACACAATTGGGATACAATGGCACGTGTCAGCCAAGACAGCGAGCCTGACCACCGATCCCGTTAGTCGCCTCTTACAACAAGCATGGGTTGCTGAATTTTAACCCGGATCTTCACGGGTTGAACACCTGAAGAAAGATACCAAAACGCATTATGGATGATTAAGTACAGTGGCGGATCCAGAGGGGTGGGGTGGGGGGGGTGGGGTGGGGTGTGTGTGTGTCCGAACCCCTTTTGAAACAACCCCCCACCCCTTTCAAAATTCCTGGATCCGCCTATGAAGTGTGTATACTCGATAGTTAAATTCAATTCTATATCCCCTTGGTGTATAGGGCGTCTGCTGCAAAATAGGTACATGTCATACACAAGTTTTATAGTAATAGAATATTCGATCAAATGTTGACATTCAAGTTCATGTCTACAGAGTGATGTTGCATGCTTAGGGTACAATCGTTGGTTGGCATAGGGATGCTAAACTTAGATTTAGAAGGCTATAAGTAATATTTTGTGGGAATAAACTGTTCACGTAACTGGCTATATTAAGAGAAAGTGATACTCGTCCTCCAGATATACTTCGCCACATACACAACAGTCTTTCATTTATTTCAATATTGATATACCTTCCAGTTTCAAGACTAAACTGTGATACAAATAGAAATAGAGCAACCCTAATTTTTCTACAGTTACATAACTAAGGTGTAGCTCTGTACCAAACAAAACCTTGAAGAAGGAATAGGATAAGGTTTTGTTACTTTCCTGAGCTCTAAGAGGACTCCATTTCTGATGTTGTTGGAATATTGCTAAAAGCGGCGTAAAACTAATCTCACTCACTCACTGAGAGGACCTTGTGCGGAGTAAAATTTGAATTGTGGAAACTGATTAATTAACCGTCATCTGTATGGCAGGATCCTTCGCGATCCTTATCCCGGAGACGAGCTCTGACAATACTTGAACGAAGTTAAATCATTTTGCCTTTCAGACGCAAAATCTAAAACTTACATAATATTAGAAATATAGCAGAAGACCAGTTCCACACTTTGTGACAATGTTAACATTTTTCGTCTTATAAAAAGGCTGCTCATCGGATCATGCAACCCTATATGTTTGTACTTGTTTTTACTTACCAGTTTCTTGTTAAACCAATTCACTTGGCCCTTACTTTTCACTGATAGGGGGCGGTGGGGTAGTGGTTAAAGCGTTCGCTCGTCACGTTGAAGACCTGGGTTTGATTCCCCACATGGGTACGATGTGTGAAGCCCATTTCTGGTGTTCCCTGTCGTGATATTGCTGGAATATTGCTAACAGCGGCTTAAAACCAAACTCACTCTAGCTTCTTCGTATTTTTCACGTGACATAATTCTTTTAATTCGTGGAAACAATAGCACAGCTCTGCTCTTGAGGAAAACAAAAGCTATGAAATAATTCGCTTAAAATCATATCATGGAAGGACAACAAATAGAGAACACAGCTGAAAATTCGTGTATGGTAAAATGAATGGCGCACGAGATTATGTTCTACCACTGAGAGAAGTACGAGTCGATGTACCCTGCCCAAAAACCTCTTATACAAAAACAGTGAAAGCAAAGCAACGAAAATACAGAAATAATTATTTGCAACAATAAGTTATTACTGTGGCATAGAGATTACTACACGGGTGTCTGTCAGATACAATTTATCTTACAACTGGTTGTTTCAAATGTATCTAACAAGCGAAAGATTCAAATTTAATATATTATTCTCATCGCAGTGGCTCAACAATACACAACATAACGTTTATGAATGAGTGACGTCACTCGGCTCCGATCTACTACTCACCTCTAAGGTGACCCTCCGCAAAGAAAAGTTACTGCCACATCTGTGCTTTATCAAGGCGCTAATGATGATGCAAACTAAAGTACTGTCGGAAATGCTAGAAAAATGCTTTTTGACATATTTAAAATTCAGAGGTATTACAGTTACTTAAATAACAAATATCACTTTAAGAAACATCTACCTAATGTAGACCGAGGAAATAAATTTTGAGACATGCCCTAAAATGTGTTTTTACTGATGAAAATACCAAAAACTTAGAAAAATAAGGGGTAGGTGGACGTTATTTGATACAAACATTAACTGCCTGTGTTACGTCATCAGCATGCACGGTATCGACAGGTGAAATTGACACCTGAGCACGCACGCTCGGACGAGGGGTCATCTCAATAGATGTTTTCTTCAAAATGTTGAATATGTGTACGTATTGTTTACGTATTGGTTATGTAATGGATCATTTGTGTATGCGTGTTTGTTTTGAAATAAACATACGAATTGATGTACATTGGAAAGAATCCTGTCACTTGTGTTATCTTATCCATTGATTGTAGAAATGTGCAACGTTTTAATAAATGTTTTGCATGTCAACAGTATATTTCATTGCAAAAATATGGATGTAATTCGGTCAGTTTAATCTAGTTGTGAACATTGGCCAAAGATTTCACGAAGTCACTGGTGTCTAAGTACTCCCTTGTCAAAGTTGTCAAGGATGGTTTTACGTCCCGGTTGTGCTTTTGAACGGTCCCTGTCTTGTCTGATTTGTTTACAGTATTGTAAACTTGTTGGTAAGACATACCAACAGATCTACAAGTTCTGTAATAAACCCTTTCTAAAGTAATGAAAGGTTTACCTGTCTTTTCAAGCACAAAAAAACTGATAAACATTTGCAACAATCTACTGCAAATAGTTGGCCTTAGTGGACGCTGTGATAAAGATGTGCATGCATGACGGGAAACTTATTTATCAAGCCTTAACATTTATATTAATATTTCTTCAATAAAGAAACGATAAGTAAAGTAACACAAACATTCAACATTTATTTGTTTAAGAAAATTGTTAATTCATATTTTTACACCACCTGTATTATTAGCATAAATGTAAAGACTATTTCAGATTTCTGTTGTTGAACTCAGAAAAAATCTTAAGTTGATGTTTTGGTACCAAATTCTCTCCTGTAAACTGCCCTTTAAATGCATGGGAATGTTAAATCAATTGAAATAAAAATTAGGTACGCTATAGGTGAGTTGATATATTGACAACAAAGTACATTTATCACCTTTCTAAAGATATCAAGGCTAAAAAGCATTTTTCTAGCATTTCCGACAGTACTTTAGGTTCAATAGGATGAATTAAGCACTCTAAACTCTAAAGCTACGATATAGATGATTTTCCTTATTGTAAGCATAAAATAATTGAGAGTGTGACGTCCTTGTAATCGCCTTGTTGCTATGAATAGATCACATAGTAGCTCTGGGGCTGGAATGGATCTTTATCGAAACAATCTTCCCCTTATCACTCCATCAATCTAACCACCATACAAATCGATCTCACAATGTACAGACACTCATGTTATCGTGTCAGGTATTTATACAAGGCGATATGAAACTTGTCGCATCTCTCCAGTGTAGTACATTGTGTATTTTTATTGAATCAAGGAATGTTCCCTCTATAATATGACGGCGGTCTGTCAATAATGAGAATTGACTCATGAGCATTCACCTACGCTACCATAGAGCCTGGTCATCCGATTCCGCCAGTCTATTGTATAGTGAGTGAATGAGTTTAGTTTTACGCCGCACTCAGCAATATTCCAGCTATATGGCGGCGGTCTGTAAATAATCGAGTCTGACCAGACAATCCAGTGATCGACAACATGAGCATCGATCTACGCAATCGATGCAGTAATTGACACGGGTATGGTACTGGTTTGGTTAACCCCACACTCAGCAATACTCCAGTTATATGGCGGCTGTCTGTACATAAGTCTGGACCAGACAATCCAGTGATCAACAGCATGAGCATCGATGTACCTAATTGGGATACGATGACATGTGTCAGCCAAGTCAGCGAGCCTGACCACCCGATCCTGTTAGTCGTCTCCTACGGCAAACATGGGTTACTGAAGATCAATATTCTAACCTGGATCTTCACGGGTGTCTATTGTATAGAGTGTATTGACACCCGATTCTAACACGTATCTAGTACTATCTACGCAGGATAAAAGTACTTACGTATGGCAAAAAAACATCAAAGCTTGATATTTGTGAAAATCATCCTAAATCAACAGAGAATACTCTGAGAGACTCTCCCAATCCCAAATTCCCACGAGAGTGGCGTTGTACACAGCGATCTTAGTACTGATGTGATCGTAACTCCCATATCTCATCAGCGTAGCGTAAAGCAATGATTGTGTTTCAAACATGTTTATAATAATATTTATAATGGTGATTATTTGCAGCTAGACTTTGATGCTTCGTCGACTCTTTTGTCCCGTGTGGCATGCAGACATTCTACAACTTATTTAGAAAACAAGGCTGGGATCCTGACTTGCGTTGAGCAGATAGAAAACCAGTTATAGCGTTAACGTCACGCGAGGCTATGACGATCTCGCGAGATTTATGACGTCGCTATGACGACAGTTTCACTATTGATACCGCCATTTTGTCGCTATCACATATTGCCGTCATACTGCCAGTTTTCTTCACCGTTTGCCTCACAGTTCGCTCATCTCCAGCTGCTATTACCATGACGTCGTACACCCAAGGTAGTTCGTTATTTCTGCTTGAGTTCTTGTTGCGCTTTTGCTTTCTGTTAATGATTTATTTATTCACTTAATTCGGCCTGAAGTAGGAACATGGAACGCTTGAACATCTTCCCGGTTGCTGTCATCAAATATGACCAATTGTTCACGTTAACTGAGGCCTTTAAACCGTTCAGTGTGTGAATAAAAAAACAGGACAACAACGCCTCCATGAGTTAGCGTTATAATGGATTTATCCACAGCAGATACGCAAAACGTTTAAAACAAATGCGTACGGAATATATTTATAAAAAAGACATGATTGCTATCAAGTTGTACTGTTAGTATAGGACAAGTGTTGTACTGTCAGTATAGGATGAGTGATTTTTTATGAAATCATTTCCATTATATTTCAGTTCGTTTTGATTAGGTATGACATAAGGCAGGACATACCTGCTTAGTAAACTTACTCAATGACATAATACTTAGGTGAGTAAAATGACTGAAATACGCACATATTTGAAAGCAGTGGGTAACGGAAAATGAAATACCCACTCAATATTCATAATAACCACTCCCCCAAAAATACAGTGGGTACAATACCCACATGAGCTAAATCTTATCTGGAGCTCTGATAATCCACAGAACTTATCCAAAATAGGCTAACCTACTACAGCCATACAATCAGTTTCTCACAGTTGTATCCATAACCTGTTTGTAGAATATAAGCACTAATTGTAGTTCATATAAATAAACTCCAGCCTTGGTATAGTGCTAAGTCGTCTAGTTAAACTTATATGCTGGACTAGCACTAGTTGGTGATTGTTGGAGGTCGCTTCGATCTTTACTGTACCAAAACTAACTAAAATAACGTTTCCACTTTGAAGTGTAGTTCTACCTCACTCCCATAGCAATTGTTTCCAGAACCTGACTGTCTTGAGGTTTATACCCAATGTGGTGATTTATTTAGCTTCTTAAACTGTTGTCTTCATGCTATAATTTTAATATAATATCAATTATGGATAGCATAGGTTTGACGTATACGGGATTCCATTGCTGAGAATGTAACCAGAACAGGTTTATGGACCAAGAACATTTGCCCATTTCTGTCACACTGGTCGGAAGTCGGCAACAGCCACCAATATCCTGGACAGTGGTCCCTGTCATGATACATTTAAGAGTCCCTTGCTAAGCAGTGGGGGAAAGAGAGCACATAAGTTTTTTCCAAATTTCTTTTTGCCACTGGAGCTTAGTTTGGAATCTTAATTTAGCTAAAAATCCATGATACCTTTGAGAATATTGGACTTAATGAACTTCTAGTATTTAGGTACAGGTATGTCACAGAAGTGGAGCAAATTAAGAGGATCCACGACAGTCAGCTCCAGAAGTGTATCCATCTTCCAAAAAGTGGAAACCTGGGCTGGTTAAATTATTAGATGGAGAGTGTGTAGTTGTCTAATCAGCATCTAACTGAAGTAAAATACAACACAAATAAAATGATATTATCATTCATACAAAAGAACTGTCATGAGTTGTTTTACTGTTAACAACTAATGGGAAATAGGAATAAAGAATATCTTCTAAGCTCAAAGCTTTCACCGCCTTGATGTTTAATCTTTGTTTTATGTCTATACCATAACACTAAGATATATTTCATTTTACATATCAGAGAAAAACACACCACTGTAAAAGTGAAAAGGCATAGACACCTGTACACCTGGAATACATTAGATTTATTAAAAAACATTTTGAGTATGCTCCATAAATTCCTTAAGGCAATCACCTAAGCAATCTGGTTAATGATTTCTACAAGGAATTACATCAAAGCTGGGGTAAAATGCATTTCAATGTTCATCATAGTTATGTAAAAACAACTGCGAATTATGTAATTTAGAATGTTCCAGAACCGACCAGTCTGTAACAAAACATTAGCCTTTCTTTTCACACATTTTCTGTTTGTTGAAATATGGTTTATATGTTATGATACTGGTAATCACATCCAGCACTATCTTTATAATAAATATATCATTTAAAAAGAAATATATCTAAGAGCAAGAGCCAACAAACAAACCAGTAGTTACCTTGTCCTGCATTTAAATCATATTAATGTGATATCTCATCATGTTAATAGTTGTCATGAATAATTATTGGTAACTTGATTAGAATAAAAAATATATGCTATTACTTTTACAAATTTAGTAAAAACCCAGGACCTGGGTTTTGAAAAATGTCTTGCTATCATTTCCAGTAAATTAATTGTAATGACACAATTTAACATTTGTGGTGTTTCACTAAATGTGTACCAATATGCCTAGCCTACATGTGAATAAATTATGCTGTAACATAAATTCTAAGAAAATAAAGTTCTCATAGTTTACAAATTTTGATTTGGAAAAGTTTGTTCCACAAATAACTTGGAAAGTGTTGGTCGAAATATTTTCTAATTTGGGATCACCTTCCATATATTTTTGAGAGGTGCAAAGATTTATTATGATATTGATAATTTATGAAGAATTATCACAATTTAAATTTCTTGAACATGGGGAAAACTCCTATTAATCAGATTCAGGTAATAGTACATTTGTTTGATATAAAAAAGGGTAGTGATACCTCAACATTTAACCTTTTAAACGTTTTTGACCTGTTAATACAGTCCAATAATGTGTCACATTTAATATTCACTGTAGCAAACTTACAATGACACCATCTGTTCATTAACATACCATTAACCTTTTGGAGTTAATTTTTCAACCAAAAATGCAAATATGCATTATGCCAATGCAAAACTAATACGTTGATAAAATGCACTAAAAATATATTGGGTGTTAAGCATCGAAACCTCCCAAAGTGACAATTATAACTTTCCAAACGTTTGTAGTGGACAGAACTGCTAATGCCACATGCTTGTTTGCTAAAACATACGTATTGCCAAATAATGGTGGAAAAACCCAATTTAATGAAATGCAACGGTTAATTATTATGGCCTTCCCATTTCACTGTCGTGATCAACTAAAGAACTGTTATGGTTTGATGAAGGCTTCAGTTGATGAATTTTTGATCAATCAGATCCAGTTTGTTGTATTGTAATTTATACAACTTTTCATTTTATGTTTTTCCGACAGCTCTTGACCTCGTGATCAGGTTCCCTTTGAACTTTGACATCTGGGCCCCTCCTCGCCAAGTGGGTGTCTAAGGGATTTAGTAATTTTATAGAGTTATTGTAAATCTGAAATTGTGTGTCTGGTATTTCATGTTATCAGTTACCAATAATCTTAACACTAGTCACCAAATATTTTATGAACTAACAATTGTCTAAATTCATGAGTATGGCTATATCAATCCATTTCGATTATCTTCCTTCCTCTTTCTTTGCTTCCATCTTCTGTCACTCCCTTCATGTCCTTCTCCCCTCCCTCTCAGCGTCCTACTGGGAGATACATGACCATCCTTGAGCCCCTGTCTGAGCTGCCCGTCCCTCCCACACCTCTCCCCTGCCCCTCTCTCTACCCCAGTCCTCCGTGATGCCCCTCACTTCGTCGATATCAACCTCGATGATGACGACACCCCGACCCAGTCCCCAGTTCGAGTCTTCCTGTCACGTGTGTCTGGATTCTTGAGGAGAGTGTTCCGTGTCAAGATGGACGCTTAGAGTGACATCTTGCTATTTATTGCTATATCTTTGATTCTTAACGAAATTGTTCTGTGTCAAGATGGACGCTCATAGTGACATCTTGCACTCTCTTGGATTCTTGAGGAGACTGTTCCGTGTCAAGATTGGACGCTTAGAGTGACATCTTGCTACTTCTTGGATTCTTTAGGAAAGTGTTCCGTGTCAAGATGGACGCTGAAAGTGACATCTTGCAAACTCTTGGATTCCTGAGGAGACTGTTCTGTGTCAAGATGGACGCTTACAGTGACATCTTTTCGCCATTTGGACATTGTGTCATATAATAATAATTTACATGGAATTATAAATACAAAATGTTTGGTGACTTTTTGCATTTTTGGACCTTTTGGACTTTCAAAAATACTTTTCGGACCTTTCGGATATTTTGTGGTTTTGGATTTTCAGAAATGTGGACTGTATGTGTTATACACTTGAAAACGTTTGATTCTAACTTGAACATTTGGGCTTTTTCGGACAAGATTTAAACTTTTCACTTTAATCTGTACTGATTAAAATTATCTTAATTTCCTAGCCGTTTGTGTTTTCTTTTGTTACATAGCACACGACTTCTGTTTATTATCAGCCATCTTGAACACCAGGTGCAGAAATACCATACACCATGATCCATAATCTGTGGTTCATTTAGATTCATCTTAGATATGTAGATTCTATCTCATTTCACACTTGACCTATCTGATGGGGAACAAAACCCACTTGCACACCATGGTCTCACAAACTCCTCAAACCATTGCTGACAAGTTAGTGAATTTGGCTAATTATTGTTGTGAAGCAATATTCAAGATATCTCAAAGATGCCTGTAAAGAATTGGGTCTGGACCAGTGTTTAACTACACCACCAACAACTACAAAACAAGTCTGCCCTACGGTTTCTTGTTGGGGTTTGTCGCTGGTGTTTTCTATTGCTATGTCCACGACATTTCAACTTTAGTGACTTGGTCTCCAAATCTCAATTTCACATTCATACATATTAGATTGTAGATCTGCCCTGCGTCTAAAGTGTGTTCAACTTGATGTCAGTAACAATGGCGTAGGTCCATTATACTTCCACAGTTTGGTAAGAGAGATCATCCGTGTCAGCGACAGTGATTCTTAAACACATAATTATGATATGATCAGAATAGTATAATGAACTTTTCTTCAGAGATTTCTAATTATGATTTTCCTTCTGTCCACAGGTAGAAGATAAGTGTCGCCGGTCTCGTAACAGATCACCGAACCATAGTCAAAGAGAATCTCTCCAGCTGATGTGTATCGCGTCTGTTATAAACATGTAACAGTGAAACATTGTAATAAACTTATAAAGCTGAACTTGAGTGTTATTCATATATAGTTCACTTCAAAATACGTGGTGTAATCTGTATTTGCATGAGTGAGTGATTTGGATCTAAGCCGCTTTCGACCGGCTTGAGTGTTAGCGTTAGTCATCACGGGTATGGTACTGTGTGAAAGTGATAAACTGATGCAGCAAATCTGGCATTTCGGGACCAGACAACTGAACGCGTTGTATCCTTGGTTCGTGTCTTAAAACACCAGTGGAAGGAAGGTGCTCAACAATCGTTTCGAACCCTTCCTACTCAACTCGATTGACCTGTTCAGAAATTAGACAGACGGGTCTTATGATGGCTCCCGAAACAAAGCTCTAGAGTCAGTGGGTTTAGTTTTACGCCGCACTCAGCAATATTCCAGCTATATGGCGGCGGTCTGTAAATAATCGAGTGTGCACCAGACAATCCAGTGATCAACAGCATGCGTATCGATCTGCGCAATGGGGAACCGATGACATGTGTCAGCCAAGTCAGCGAGCCTGACCACCCGATCCCGTTAGTCACCTCTTACGACAAGCATAGTCGCCTTGTGTGGCAAGCATGGGTTGCTGAAGGCCTATCCTACCCCGGATCTTCACGGGTCACAAAGCCCTAGAGGCAAATAGGGCCAAGGTATACTCTCATAGACATAGATGCTTATATATACCTGTTTTCACCTACACTCACAAGATTGAATTTAAAGGCGTTCCTGAACTAGAAAATGCACACAAATTCTAACCCAGTGTATATTTCTACTGAACATATCTATGCTGTGTGTGGATCATGGGTGATGTAGACACTGGGGACAAGGTATTGGGAGACATGTCACCCGTCCTGGCTGTAGGCAGACACAATGGCGATCAGGGAAGACCCACAACCAAAGTGGAGGGAAATAACATAGAATGAAGATACGAGAAAATAGTAATGAAAATAGAGTAATCGTTTTATGGTGGCTCGGTGATGGTGTTAGACTAATGCTTAGTCTCTAAATATATATAAGTTTGATAGTAACAAACAAGCCGATTTAAATTGAAAAGGAGCCCTAGGGAGACCAGAGATTCCTGAACCTGAGGAAATCTAGACTTGCTTTATTTTGGGCATTAGCAGAGAGGGCTAGACAGTAGGGAAAATAATGTGGTTCAGGGACTGTAAGACGACTATGACGGTGTGGGTGGGATCACTTTGACTGTCACAACACCATGACATGTTATACACAGACGTGTCACTGCGCAGTACTACCGTGACCAAGTGCAGGAGGCTCGTTGGTGTCTTATGTTCGCCGACGTCGTTTGTGTTTCAGGATGACAACTCGAGAGCACAGAGGCCTCCAATTCTTACTGAGTACCTCCAACTGGAGAACATAACCTCCTTTAAAAAGATGGCCAGCACTAGACTTGTCACCCGTCGAACATGTTCGGAATATTCTTGGACGGCGCGTACGTCACTGTCGACAACCACTGACCAATATGAACGAACCTGGCACTACTCTGCAGACAGAATGGGATGGGAGGAACTAAGGTAACATTGGACGTTTGAGTAGGGGTATGCGTCGTTGAATCCGGGATTGTCTTGAGAATGGAGACGGATTCACACGATATTAATGATTTTGACTTTTCATAGTAAATGGCATGACAGACACTTACTGCAGGGTGCTTTGGTCAATCATCTAACAAAATCTATTGTCATCTGACTGATGTTTAACGACCAATGTTAATCTCAGTCAAGATGTCCCTCTGACACTATTTATCTCTTTAAGGTATTAAATATCAGTAGTTTCGTTGACTACCCCTACTTTTTTAAATGGTAAAGGTGAACAAATAGAAAGAGCACACCTATTGGTGTGTCGTGATGTTAGTCTTGCTTAATTATTTTGTTTTCATTTGCATATCGATTCTTGTAATGAATATTTTACGAAAACACTTTGTCTCTCCGTTTGTATTGAAAATATTTTAATAAGGTGTCGCGGGTTCAGGCCTTAGTCTTGCCAAGCAGACAAATTAACGGACGGAGACCCTCGTTGGTGTAAAACATCTCGTTTATTGACTGTTAATTATATAACATTAGTGACATGTTGTGTCAGCCATGCATGTGTGATGGCTGACGGATTACAATTGAATGTGAATCAATCAGGCATATTAATTATTCATACGTTATAATTATGATAACCATTGAATAATGTTGATTGTTTACATGATGACGTCACATACAGGTGATGCATCATATTATTGTTATAAATATAGACAGTTGGTGTTGATAATAAAAGGTTTATAAAATATATTATAATTATACTTTCACACACTGTCTTACGTGCTAGTCCTTAAGCTAGTAAGTGATACGCGATAGATACGTTTACTTTATATGCGCGATCGGTAACAATATGTTTACTAACTTAAGGTACTTAACTGATAATAATTAGATATTTAGCACTATGAAATAGAGAAAGGATATAGAGAGGGTGCTTACCTGTGAATTATACAACATTAGTAAGATGTTGTGTCAGCCATGCATGTGTGATGGCTGACGGATGACAACTAAATGTGAATTCAAATTGTCATACGTCACAGGTGTAGAAGCCCGTGCTTTTGGTGGTGAGCCAAATACGGGTAGCACGTACAACTCCCTATATCAGACAGTGGAGAAGCAGACTTCTGATGGAAAGATAGAGAAATAAAAGGCTGTCGGCGACAAAGGTTTATCCATATCTAGGTGTATTCTTGTCAACATTTGAAAACGATAAACTGACGTTCATTCACAAAGGGAGCTAACCTCCATTCGTAGGAAATTAGTTTGTCTTGGGGTGATTCTAAGTGGTTCGAGTGAGTGAGTTTTGTTTAACACTGCTTTCAACATGACGTCAGTATATCACAGCGTGTCATCTGGACCCGGGTCAAATATCATCGCCAAAATGGAACAGTTGAGATAAGCGCCTCTGTATAATTCGTTCTTGACATTTCTCAGAGGCGGTGGGGGTAGCCTAGTGGTTAAATCATTTGCCCATCACGCCGAAGACCCGGGTTCGATTCCCCACATGGGTACACTGTGTGACGCCCATTTCTGGTGTCCTCCGTCGTGATATTGCTGGAATATTGCTAAAAGTGGCGTAAAACCCAACTCGCCCACAATTTCTTGTGTCAGGCCTCTGAAGCGCCAGTAAAATCTGTAAAATTAGTCAAACAGATAACAGTTAACGCCGCTCTCCCGATGTTCCAGCTTTATAACGGCGGTCTGCAAATATTTAAATAGAACGAGAAATCCAGTGATTGACAACATGGGCATCGAGTCAGCCTGGTCATCCCATTCCGTCAGTCGCCTACTACGACAAAGCGAGGGAGCAAAATATATTTAACTGTTTGACATAAGGCAAAATACACTACCTTCAGTAATGTATTTATGCAAAGGTACAAAAACATAATTCCAGAATGTAAAAACCCAGAGTGCCGTTATACAGAGCGAGTTTAGTGGTGATGTGACCATAACTCCCATGCCTTATTATTGACTAAAGTCGTAGTCGGTTGTTTGTGTGAGTGAGTAAGATTTTACGCCACTATTTGCAATATTCCAGAAATATCATGACGATGACACACGAAATGGGCTTCACACATTGTACCCATGTTGGGAATCGAACCCGGGTCTTCGGCGTGACGAGCCAACGCTTTAACCACTAGGCTACCCCACCGCCCCTAAGGTTGTTTATACAATGACAGACAGGTTGCCTCGTGTTATGACCGTATTACGAAACATTTGAGTTAGGTTCTAAGTAATTTACCTACTTTCAATCAAGTCCAGTTAGTTTGTCTTTGTCCACTTATAGAGAAACATTTATGAGTTTGAGTTACATTGTCTGAGAAATATCGTGTCTGCATTTACTTCGGGAGACGCCTATTACTTTTTGAACCAAGTCATTTCCCTTGACTGTTAATAGATATCATGTTATACGAGGGTGGAGTGTTTTAACTAACAGACTTAAGGGACTGTTTCAAATCGAATTGGTGTGGTACAAACACGTTTACAATCATATTTAGAGTAGTGAGTGAGTGAGTTAAATTTTAACATCATATCGGTATTTTGAGTAGTGACTATTTGCAGATGGACACTGATGCTGCATCGTCTGTTTGTTTGTTGTTTGTTTGGCATGAAGACATTCTATATACAAGCCAAGATCAGCCATTTTTAACCTCGCGACATCAGGAAACATGGCTGGGATCCTGACTTGCGAAGAACACGAAGAAAACCAGTCATAGCGTTAACGTCACGCGAGGCTATGACGATCTCGCGAGATTTATGACGTCGCTATGACGACAGTTTCACTATTGATACCGCCATTTTGTCGCTATCACATTACCGTCATACTGCCAGTTTTCTTCACCGTTTGCCTCACAGTTCGCTCATCTCCAGATACTATCACCATGACTTCGTACACTCAAGGTAGATTGTTATTTCTACTTAAGTTAGTGCTGTCCCTTTGCTTTCTGTTATGACGTATTTACTTAATTCAACATGAAGTAGGGAACTCTGCCCCCTCTGGTCGGCTGCTGTCATCAAGGATGACTATTTGTGAATTGCTAATATGTTTTTCACGTTAACTGAGGCCTTTCAAGCTTCCAAACTGTGAACAGGGAAAAAGGTAAGATTACAGAATACCGGATACCTTCCTAACTCCTAGGGTTAGGGTAAGGTTTAGGGTTCGGGTTAGGGTAAGGTTTAGGGTTAGGGTAAAGTTTAGGGTTCGGGTTAGGGCAAGGTTTAGGGTTAGGGATAGCGTTAGAGTTAGATAGACGTGACATTAACAATATGGTTGGTATGTATCCGGTATTCTGTAAGTGTATCGGGAAAAACAACGCATTCACGAGTTAACGGTATATTGGATTAAGCACCTACACTCTATGAAATTTACTAGTCAATCAGTGTCTAAAGCGGACAATGGTTTCAGATATGAATGTCAAGTAGTCTGGGATTACCTTCTGATATAGATTTAGGATTCACAGAGTAGCTTTGAAGGCCACT